AATAAGAATTCTACACACCACTCCGGGAAGCAGGATGAGAAAACCCAGAGGAAACGGATGATTCCTGAGAAAAAGCACATCCTTCTCACTTATCCTGATGAATGACCACAGAAGAGCAAAATGTGCTGCTGGTGCATGCCTGTCCTGCAGGAGGCTCACAAGATCAAGGCCAGCCTCAGCCACTTATTGAGGCTCTAAGCAACTTAGCAAGACCCCAACTCAAAAAAAATGAAAAAGACTCCGGGGTGTGGCTCCGTGGCAGAGCATCCCTGGTTTTAATCCCCAGTACCAAGACCAATCAAAATCACAGAAGAAATTAACCAGAAGGTTAAAGAATCACAATGAAAAAGCTTTTCTACATTTAGAAATATCTGACTTGCTTAAACTATTCCATAGGAAGATTGCAGAAAACTCCCCCAATTAATTCATGATTTTGATTTATAAATTTGATTTCATGACTTCAATTCCAAAACTTGATAATACAGGACAGACAAGTACAGATCTATATCACTTGAGGATATAGATAGAAGCTGGGCTCAATGGCTCACAACTGTCATCCCAGCTACTCAGGAGGCTGAAGCAGGAGCCTTGCAAGTTCCAGGTCAGCCCAGGGAAATCAGTGAGATGCTGTCACAAAATAAAGATGATTTTGGGGGGATTTAGCTCAGCAGCAGAGCATTTGCCTAGCATGCAGAAGGCACTGATTTCAGTCCTTGGCCCAGAAAAAAAAAGAAAAACAAATAAATAAAAATAAAAAGGGCTGAAGATGTAGCTACTAGTGGTAGAGTATCCCTAAAAAAAAAAAAAAAATTACAGAAAATTTTATTTAAAAAGTCTAAATATTAGCAAAGAGTAACTCACAAGATGCCAAAAGAAAAACTGGACATAGCTTTATTTTCAGATTTCCAGATCAATCCATGGAAAAGCCTTCTATCAAATTAAAATAGGAAAACACCATGATCCTACTCATCTGTACTACAGAGAGAGCATTTGATAGAATCCAGCATCCGTTTCTAATCAAAGCAAGGGCTGGGGGTGTAGCTCAATGGCAAAGTGCTTCTCTAGACCCCAGCTAGGTCTGATCCCTAAAACTCCAAACATAAATAAGTAGATAAATAAATAAGCATGTATGTTCAACCCCAGGGCTGCAAATACCATAGCACACTGTTTGCCAATTCCAGAGAAAGAACAGGAAAGACAGAGAGGGTTTGGACCTTTTATTACTCACCCGCCCCTCAGAGGCGGCAGGCTGGGGTGCTATGGAAGGCTGCATTATGCCTATAAGCAGCGCCGATATTTGAGGCAGACCGTGGGCCCGCTGTGCAGGTGGGGTGCTTCAGGTAGGTTTTTTTTTTTTTTTTAAATCTTTATTTTATTTTTCTGTGGTGCTGAGGATTGAACCCAGTGCCTCACGCAGGCTAGGCGAGCGCTCTACCACGGAGCCCCAGCCCAGCCCACTTCGGATGTGTTTTGAGTGCATCTTCTACTTTACAGCCAATGTGACTCGGCTTTGATCCTTTGATTGGTGACAGGGGAAGTGGCCAGCTCCCCCTCTCCACTGCCATGTTGTCACCATCTTTAGAGTCCTCGTTACCTCACTGCAAGGTTTCCCAGGCTCTGACCAGTGCTTGCTGCAACAAATGCTAGATAAATAAATAACACTTAAAATAAATATGTAACTAAAAGGGAAGTGGGGTTTAAAAAGAGGAGAAGTTGCTTAAACACAATTAAAAACAATTTCCCTAAAGATAACAATGAATATTACACAAAATCGGTAAAAAAAAAAAAAAAAAAAAAGACCCACAGGCCAAGTTTTACTATCACTATCCAACTTTGTCTTGGAGAGTTTAACTGATGCAGTAGGACAAAAGAGCACTAAGACATTAGAAAAGAAGAGATGGCAACTTACTTTTTGCTGATTGTAGAAAAACTCAAGAAATACTGTATCAAAAAATTACGTTTCTTAGGGGCTGGGGTTGTGGCTCAGCGGTGGCTTATTGGTAGAGTGCTCACCTAGCACACTCGAGGCCCTGGGTTCGATCCTCAGCACCACATATAAATAAATAAAATAAAGGTATTGACAACTACAACTAAAAGATAAATATTTAAAAAATCACATTTCTCTATTCTAGCAATAAAGAATTAGAAATGGAAATGAGGAAATATTCCATTCACAAATGACAAGATATGAGCTGTCTGTGAATTAATTTAATGAAACAGGCACAAATAATATATAAGCAAAGTTATAAAAAAAAGTTCATTGAAAGGGTTGAAGCAAGATCTGACACTCTGAAAAGACATGCCATTTCTTGGAAGGAGTGACACTGATATCATTGATAAAATATGAACTCTCCACATCTTAATGGAATACAGCTAGTGCAATTGCATTCGGCATCATGATGGGAAAGGAACAACTTTTCTTGAATTGGAGAAAAAGTGTGTGGAGGTAACTGACACAAATGTACAGAAGAATGGGGGTGAACCAATGGACGAGTTATTAAAATGGAATGAAGAATCAGGTAAATAGCAAATGAACAGAAATGTAAGAGCACATCTCAGCACAGATGTGAATCTACATGTGAAAAAAGGTGACATGGTAGTCCCTTGTCTTTAACCAAATCCCACAGACAGGGTAATTTATAAAGAACAGAGGTTTGCTTCGTTCACCGTTCTGGAGGCTGGGAAGTTCAAGAGCATCTGGTAAGGTCCTTCCTGCTGCATCGCCAGATGGCAGAGGGTGTCCCATGGTGAGAAAGGGCAAGTGTGACAGAGAGAGCCAGCGTGGCTTTCATGAACCACTTCCATGACAATCCACTAATCCATGAACAGAGTGATCTGCTCATGAGGGCAGAGCCTACCACCTCCAAGGTCCCACCTCTCAAATACCATTCACAGAGGACTTTGGGGAGTAAGTTACCAAATCATAAAGTTGGGGGACACATTGAAGCCTAGCAGGTAGTATTTTAATTCCCAGGGAATAAGATGTATCAATCAGGTTCAGGCCATTATAATAAAGTTTTCTTGCACAATGTCTTTGGGGTCTGGTGTATGCAGCACTTAGATCTGGGTTTGGGCTGGCCTCTTCTGAAACACTCAAGGATCATCTGCATGCTGTAGCCTCCTGTGGGCAGTGCAGCGCTGAGGACAGTCCATGCTAAAACCTGAGTGCCCTCTAGTGACAACCCAACGAACTCCACCCTTCTTGGCAAACTAACTCCTCAAACTTAATATGACTGTGTGGCTCTCTCCCTAGAACACTCCATTGCTCCCTGCTGCCTCCAGGTCACATCCATGCTCCTGGTTTCAAGGTCCTGCTCAATCTGAGTCCTTCTCAGCCCTTCCTGAACACTTGCCACTCCTTTCCCCCAGCCACTCCTGACCTGCCCACCATCACTCATTCCTTCAGTGAGCGTTTACTGAGTGCTGGGGGCTGTGTCTGGAGCTGCCCTGGATGCAGATGCCTGTAAGTCCTGGAGCACTGGGCTTCTGAACAATTATTGCATGGCAGTAACTTGGCGTTACCCCAGCTGGATAACAACGCGCGTGGCTCCAGGAGTGGGCGTCACCCGCTGGGATTGAGCTACACTCGCCTGTTCCTTTGTAATCCTACCCCTTTGCCCTTTTTGGGGATAGAATGTTCCAATGAAACTCCCCTTGTGTGTCCCCTAAGAATAAAGAACTCTGGTGGCTCTCTTTCCACAAACCCTCTAGGTTGGAGAGCCATCACGGATTTTGAAAGGGAACTTCTGTGTATTTGCGTGCTTTGTCGTTTTTTGAAGTTACGGGAAGAGTCCGATTTTGTGAACCCAGCATTAGGTCTCCAGCAAGGACAGATGGCGATGGGGATGCCCTGGCACATGCACGTCTCCTGACTGGGTCACGCTTGCACTTCTGGGTTTGACAATTTGCACTTGACCCACTTTATCCTTGCCCTCCGTCTTCTTGTCTGACCCTGAACCTCTTACCTTCCGTGCAGGATCGTTGGGGGAACTCTGTGCAATAATGAATGTAAAGTACCTGGCACACAGTAAGTGCTTTATAAATGTTGATCCCACTTATAACATCCTTGAGGCTTGGGGCAGGGCAGGAAGCTTCAAGTGGAGCCCCCACCCCCAGGAAGGGGACCACACACAGAGAAAGAGTCTGGGGGGGGCCCTGGAGCCCCTGATCCGTGGGTGCAGGCAACAGGGCTTGAAATGGGTGCTGGGGTCCTCCCCCCTCCAAGCAGGACTACCCATGCCCAGCTCATGGTCCCAGTGTTTGCAGGACCCACCCCTGCGGGGACCCCTCCCCCTGCCGCACTAAAGCCCTCCGAGGCTCCCAGTTCCGTGGCGTAGCCCCCGAAAGGTGCATCCAAGAGTCCTTGACCATCTCTAGGACCCGCTGGCCCTGGGAGGGTCTAGATGTCAAAGAATCGGACACAGAAAATTAAAAGGACGAAGCCCCGCGGGGAGAAGATGGCTATCCATGACCCGAGGAACGCCAGAGGCCACCAGAAGCTACAGGAGAGGCCTGGAGCAGGTCCCCGGTCCCAGTCCTCAGCGGAACCGACCCTGCTGACACCTTGATTTCAGACTGACTCCCAGCCTCCAAAACAGTGATACGACACCACATTTCTGTGGCTCTGAGCCTCCCAGTTCATGGAGCTTTGTTAACGGCTTCCCCAAGAAGCTCATGAAAAGCTTCCTGGAGGGCAGTTTTATAACAATCTCATAGATCATTAGTGAATCAAAATGCAGCCCTGACTCACACCCCGCTGCACGGATACCCACGGTGTGTCCGCCCCTCCACCCATCGGTGGCCTCGGGAGCTGCCACCTTTGGTAGCAGTGAGTCATGCTGCTGTGGACACCTGTGTGCAGGTATCTTGTTTGGAGCCCTTCCAGGTGCACGTGCCCAGGTCGGAACGGCTGGATTGTAGGGTAGCTCTAGGCTGAACTTTTCGAGGAACCCTGATGCTGTTTACCACAGCAAACTGCACCATCTTCACCCTCAGCGGCAATGCAGGAGGGACCTGCTTCCGCACTCACCACACTCGCTGTTTTCCACTTTACTGACAATGGCATCCTGGTGGGTGTGAGGAACATCTCCTGGGGGCCAAGCCTCCTGACTTTCACCCTGCAGGATGGCTTCCCCTTGTCTTCTCGTGGCTACAGAAGCAAAGAGCCTCCTAAAACTGCCTCTGAATCCTCCAATCCTGACCTTCTGCATGTGGCAGGTGCAGGTCCCTCCCCGGGTGGGACGTCTGAGTTTCAGGACACCTGTTTGTCTTCAGATCAGGGGATGTGCCTCTCCTTGTCTCCTCTGCTCCCTTTTCTCTCTCTAGAATGTTCAGATTTCCTCTCTGCTTGGGGTTTCCTGCCTCTGACATCAAGTGTCTTTGTGGCCAACGACTCTCCAACCTCTCCTTCTGCCCAGCATGGCCATGTGTACCAGTCACCTTTGCATTACTGTAAGGAAATACCTGAAGTGGTCAACTTAATAGAGAGAAATGGTTTATCAGCTCACAGTTCTGGAGTTCAAGTCCAAGATGGGGCGACCCCCATTTGTTTGGGTCTGTGGTGGGGTGCTGATGGCAATAGTGAGAGTTAGTAGTCACATGTCTAACCAAGAACAGAGAGTGGCTGAGAGTCCTGGGTCTCACAGTCCCTTCTAAGGACATGCCCCCAATTATTTACGGGCCTCCCATTAGGCCCCACCTCCTAACAGTACATAGCACCTTCATGGAGACCTGACCTTTACCTATGGACCCTGGGGGATGCTGCCCATATTTGAAAACATGACACTCAATGAAAGAAACCAGATTAGAAGGTCACATTCTGCACACTTTCATTTATAGGAGCATCCAGGGTAGGCAAACCCACAGAGACAGAATCTAGGTTAGTGGCTGTCAGGGACAGAGAGATGGCTGGGGACAGACTGCTGATCTGCACGGTTTCCTTTTGGGGTGATAAAAACCTCTTGGAACTAGGTAGAGGAAGTGTGTAAAGAAGACTGTGATTGTATTCAGGGCCCTTGAAAGGGCAACTTGTATGTTATGTGAGTTTTACCTCAATAAAAGGAAATAGGAAGTAAAAATAATCGCCGATTGAATTTGCAAATAAAATAATTTCTTTCACAAAGAGGAAAAAAAGGAAAGTGCAGAATGATGTACAAAGGTACTTATGTTTCCGAAGACCTTGCACACGTGAGGCAAGCACTACACCGCCGTGCTGTGCCCCTGCGCTGATTTCATAAACACAACCCACGTGCATGTGTGTATCAGGCATCGACAAGCTGCTCCCACCCTCCTCTGCCCTGAGGCCTGTGTCGGTCGGGATGGGGAGAACCAGGCCCCGGGAAGCATCCTGGTTCATTTTCTGCTGCTGTAACTGAATACTTCTCATAAGCGGACTGAGCTCCTGATTCCAGATCCCGGAAAGGGTGCCCGCTGTGGGTGGGGCCTCTTTCAGCATCCTCAGGTGTGGAGGGACAGCAAGCTGCTGGCGCCAGCTCCCTCCCTCTTCCTATGAAGCCTCTCATGCAGCCAGCAGGGTGGCCTGCGCCCGTGGCCCCAGGTACTCAGGAGGCTGAGGCAGGAAGATGACTTGAGTCCAGGGGTTCAAGGTCAGCCTGGGCAACAAACGGAGACCCTACCTTAAAAAAAAGCCACCAATTCCATCTTGGGGGGATGCACCCCCAGGGACCTCATCTAATCCTCATCTCCCCAAGGCCCTGCCTCCAAATACCATTAACAGGGATTTGAGGAGTAAGTTTCCAGTAATTGAGTTTCGAGGGACACATGCGAATCGTAGCGGGGAAAGAGTTCAGCTCTGTGGCCTGCGTCCAGATGGCCTGTGCTCTTTCCTGGCCGGGGGACCCAGTGAGTGCCCTGGTGGCTCTGCGCCCCGGCTTCCCCATCTGTGTGGCGAGAGGACAACAGAGCCGTCCTGCGGTCCTTGTGAGGGTCCAGTTAGCAGGCAGGGAGCGGTCCACCAATAGGGTGGGGAGGGGAAGCTCCCAGGGCCTCCCTCTCTCCCTGGCCCTCCCCGTCCAGCCTGGCCTCCTCCTCAGGGCCTCCCCTGGGTCTCCAGTCCCCCAGCCTCATTCCCAGGCAGCCGGCCAAACTCAGGCCATGTGCTCAATCCTCCCTTCCACCAGCTGCTTCCTGAGCTCAGACAAAGAAGGCTCTGTCCCCAGGCCACCCCGCCTGGGCGGCGCGGTCACCCCACACACCATAGACTGCAGCCATCTACCTCCCTTCCTGCCATGTCTCCTTGTCCAGGCCCAGCTTGCCCCCGTCCCTGAGCCTGGACGCTGGGGAGACGCTCTCTGGGCACCGGCAGTGGAGTTGGCAAGAGGGGCTCTGGGACAGCACAGAAAAGAAAGGAGCAGGATGAGGCTGGGGTGGGACGGGAATGACTGAGTGACCTGAACAGGATGACAGTGTGTGTGGGGGGGTGACATTAATGGTGTGACAATGTGACAGCAACAGGTGACAAAGCAATGCTGGGAACTGGAACAATGGGGAGACAGTTTGACAGCAACAGGTGACATTGTAATTAAAAAAAAAAAACAACCACCAAGAGTTGGTGTCATGAGTAGAGGGGCCATCTTATGGTGACAAAGGACAATGTGTATGACAGTGCCAGGTGACAGCAGGCATGCAGTATAGTGAGAGGGCAGCGGGAGCTGTAGGGCTGACTTGAGAGGGAGTCAAGGGCCTGGGCATCACACAGTGGGGTGGGCCCGTGCCAACTCCAGCCATCGGGGGACCCTGAGTCTGAGAAATCGGCAGAGCCCACGATGGTATTCCAAGGCACCATCTTCTCAGCTCCCTTTGCAACAAGAAGGTGACACATGCCCCACACAGGCCAGCAGATGCCTCAGTCCCCTACAGAAGCAGGCGTCAGAGGCCCTGTGGCCCTTGGGCTCCACTTTGCTGAGCTGCTACTGGTTCCCAGACTCCAGGGTCTTCCAGCAGCCCCGGAGGCTAGAGCCGGAGGCCACAGGCTGTGTCTCTGTGAGGCCAGAGCTGTGGAGGCTGCTGGCTGCCAATTTCCCAGCCTCCGAGGGGCTTCTACAGTGACTCGGAGCCCTTTCTGCTGGGACTGGTCAGTGCCAATGTCCAGCGCTCTGGATGAGGTGCCACTGACCATTCACAGTTGACAACGTAAGGGAAGAAGTAGAGGTGGCAGAGATGTCACGCACGTTACAGGTAGGGAAGCAACCGGAAAACAGCCAGCGTTAGGATGACAGGTGACACTGAGAGAGATGTCTGGGAATGAGAATTTGCTGGTAGTGTCACTTTGATGGAGAGAGTGTGTGATGCGCTTTATCTTTGTCACAGTCCTGGGGTGGCACTGTGATATGGAGAGTCTGTTTAGATCTTGGATGTCCCTTTGTGAAGATGTGTCATGTGAGAACCCTGTTAGTATGATCAAATGGATATGGGCAGCAATGTAACAGACCAGAGTGGACAGCATCCCACAGGCAGAACCACTGGGAGAGACAAGGTGGACAGGAGTGGGGGGCTAATGACAGCAAGCTGCCGCCCAAAGCTGCTGCCCTCTCTTCCAGAGAGCCCTGGGAGGCTTCCAGACCCCTCCTCCAGAAGGGCCTCCTCTGGGCTTCCTCACTGCTGCCTTGGCCATGCTGTGTCCCTGGTGGGACTGTCCCCTCCCACCTTCTGCACAGGCTGGGCTGCTCCTAAATCACCTGGCACCTGACCCAGTGCCCCGTGTAGGATTCACTTGTTGGCTGAAGAACTGGCCAAGGTGGACCTTGGCAAAGGGCCCTGGGAAGGGGTGTCTGCAGTGTCCCAAGCAGCTTGCCCTGTCCCCAATAACCCCTGGCCCTCCCGCCCTGGAACCCCACAGCTCTGTCACAGCCAAGCCATTGGGATCCTGGGGTTCCCTCCTGAGCCTACGCTCCCTAGGTCCCACCATCCCACTTGACCTTCTTTAGAGGCCTCAGGGACCCTGCTCCCTTGGCCTGAATGACCTCAACTTGTCCCCCAGTTCTGCCCTGGGGTCCCCACAGTGCAGCCTTGGTGGCAGATGCCTCTCCTGTGAGACTGCTAGGACTCCCCTGAGAGGCGGCTAGAGCCTCCTGGGGACTCTGGAGTGCTCCTGGCCCCTTCTCAGCCCAGTGGTCCCCTGTGGTCCCCAAAGCTCCAGCTCACTCAGTCCTGGCCTGTTCCTCATTCTCTTCCTCCAGGCCTTTGCCTGGGCTGTGTCCTCCCCGCCCCCCCACTTCCCTCCTCTTTTCCCACTCCCTCCCTTCTGCGGAGCCTCCTAGGTTTTCATCAGCTCCTTCTCCTCTCCCTCTCCCTCTAATTTGGGCGTGTCGTGTCGGGGTCTGGGGAATCCCAGCTGGGTTGTGCCATGCTGGGCAGCACCAGGGAAGTCTGTAGGACTGGGGGTCGTCTCCCTCGCCCCAGCGCTCTCCCCAAACCTCTTTACCAAGACCCTCCACATGTCCATCCCTGTGGCCTATTTCCCAGGGACCCACTTTTCTCCCCTGAAAGGAGGCAGCTCATAAGAGCCCCCAGATCCCTCGGGATCAGTCTAGCAAAGATGACGGACCCAAAGAGATCAGGTTTGGATTCCAGACCCACCACCCAGTCGTTTTGTGAGGCTGGACAAGCCACTCCATTCTATGTGCCTTAGTTTACTCCTCCGTAAAGTGGGGATTATATACGAGTATCTCCCTCACAGGCTTTTCTGGTGATTAAATAAGATGTGTATGAAATTCTTAGCACCAAGTCCGACAAGCTGCGAGTCTCACACCCAATAAACGCTAGCTCAAATTGCTACATGCTATTTATATATAACGGTTCTAGAAGTTCTGGGATGGAGGCATGTTCAGCACTGGAGCTTTGGGACTTCCACAGGGTAAACTAACAATCTGCAAGAGTGAGGGGATTTTTGAACTGGTTTTTGCCAGTTGCATAGGAGTTTGCGGGATGGAGAAATAGCTGCAGGTTCAACAGCCTCTGCCACTGGTGGGGTGTCTGTTCCCGAAGGTAGGAAAATGGTGGGGAAATTTAGAAATTTCCACTTAGTGTGTGGATTCCAGACAGGGAGCCAAAATGCTGAAGTTTGGTCTCTTTGGCAGGTGGAGAAAAGGAAGTTTAGAGAGATTCGAAAGTCTCGCTGTTGGGCTGGGGTTATGGCTCAGTGGCAGAGAGCTTGCCCTTCTCATGTGAGGCACTGGGTTCCATCCTCAGCACCAAAAATAAATAATAAAAACCAATAATAATAAAATGTATTTTTAAAAAAAGAAGAAGAAAAAGTCTCTCTCTTTCCAATTCTTCATTTCTGAGAATTTCTGGGAATCAGATGAAAAAATGTGGACCTTCTTCTCAGGAACGCGTCCCATCTTGGCTCAGCGTTCTGCCGGTTTTCTCGGGGCCTCGGGATCTGTCTCAGTAGGAATCTGGACTCCAGGTGCCAGGTGAGGTTCCCTCGTCATCCTTGGAATTCTCCTTGCCCGAGGGAGGGGGAGGCAATGTGGGAGGGCCTCCCAGGTAAGGCCCGGACCTCCCCGTCCTGGCTGTCGCCCAGGCCGCCCCAAGTCAGAGCCCCACCTCCGGGCCACCTCCAACTCAGTCGCTAACCCCAAACGCGGCCCCCGCCCCCCCAGCGCAGCCCCAGCTCCCCAGCTCCCCGGAGTTCCATCCGGAGCCCCAGGCCCTCCCCCGCTGCAGCCTCTCTCCCCGCCCAGGATCGGAGCCCCCCGCCCCCGCCCCGGGAGCTGCGAGGTGCAAACGCGCCCTCCCCCAAACTCCTCCCGCCCCCAACTCTGGGCCGGGAGCGCGGCGGGCTCGGCCTCTCGGTTTCGCCTTCCTGCCCCGGGCCCCCAGCGCTGCGGGACCCGGCCCTGCAGAGCCCAGCCCCGCGCGTCCGCCCGCGGGGCAGCCTCCACGCGCGCCGCCCGGCAGGTAAGGGAGGGAGCGGGGCCAGCGCCGGGCGACACCCTGGACGCGGGGGCGGGGGCGGGGGCGGGCGAGCGGGGCGGGGGAGGGGAGCGGGCGCGGGAGGGGGGAGGGGATTCCTTTGTCTGCGGCGGGCAGCCCCGGGCCCAGCCCCCTCCCCTCTCCGCCTTCCCTTCGGCGCCGGGGTGGGTGGCGGGGACCCGGCGCCCGGCGGGAGGGGCTCGGTCCCCGATCCGCAGGTGAAGGCGGAGTCGGGCTCGGTGGTGGCCGGGGACCGTGCATCCTCGGCCCTGCCGGGTGGAGATCGCGGCCGGCGGACTCCGGGGGCGCGCTCGCTCCTCCAGGGCCGAGCCCGGGACTCTGCGCCCCGCGGCCTCGCAGCTCCGCGTCCGCGCCGCGTGCGCCGTCCAGGCTCATTCATTTGCCCAACTCCGGGGCGCGGCTCTCGGATGCAGGGAGGGTAGGGGGTCGTGTCGGGCCAGGCTGGAGACCCCCAGCCAGAGGGAGCGAGGGCCCGCAGTCCCAGGGGCTGCCTGGAGAAGGCGTCCTCGGAGCCACAACTGGCCCGGCCAACTTGGAAGTCAGAAAGGGCGCCCCTCCCCGTCCGGCCTGTCCTCCAAAGTTGACAAGAGTTGGCGCCATCTGGTCCGATTTTTACGGGACCCCAAGGCCCAGAGAGGGGGACCGTCAAACCCACCCAGCTCTCCCAGCCCGTTCCCTCCCCGCCCCCCAGGCCAATTCCTCTCCCAGATTTGGAAAGTAGAACCTTGCAAGGGGCCCGGAGTTCCACCTGGTCTGGCTTCTCACCTCCCGGTGCTGTATTTCCCTCTCCAAACCTTTGACTGGCCATCTTCACCGGCCATGGTCCATGTCCCCATGTTCTTCGTGAACAAGCAAAGAGCCAGACACTTTGGGGCGGGGAGAACCCGGGTCCTTTTTCCCTCCCTCTGCTCAGCTGCAGCTCGGGCTCTGCCACCCATTCCCTGTCTCCTTCTGGGACCCTCACTTGCTCCATCTAACACCATGTCTCCCCTTGTTGCTCCTGCTCAAAGCTTCTCAAAGGCTCTTCGTCTCCCCTGACATAAGTAGAAGCTCCATTACATAGCTGTACCCACTCCTGCAACACCTGGCCCCACCTGGCCCCCTCTCCCCTGCCTTCCTCCTCCACACATACCCTGCCTCTGCTTTGCTGTGCTCCTTCTACCCCAGGACCTTTGTCCTGGCTAATTCCATCTGAGGCATCACATCTCTTCCAAGAAGGCTGCCCTGATGGTTTGCCTGCTCCCAAGTCAGGGCTGGATGTATCCCCTGGCTCCCTAAGGAGCCACATGGTCTCCCAGGGCTGCCCCATCCCAGCAACCTCCCCAACCATTCCCAGTTCTGTGCAGTGCCCCTCTGCCAGGGTGTTCCCTGGGGCTGACTCTACTTCCTCTCCGCAGCCTCCAAAGGACACATCATGACTGGGGAGAACCTGCATTTAGCAAGGAGAGATGCTGGAGCTCTCACCATGGCCTGGGGACCCCGAGCTCAGCTCCTGCTGGCCTGGGTGGTCCTGTCATGCATGGTGGGTGGCCATGGCCACTGGGATGGGGCCATGGAGCCTGCAGGTCCTGGGCGTGTGCGGAGACGAGGCAGCCCCGGCATCTTGCAGGGGTACGTGGAACCTAGGATGCAGACAGACCCTTGGGTGTGGGCAGGGCTGTCCTGGAGGACTGCCCAGGGGACAGGGTAAGACTTATCAGCCTTGCTGTACTCTCCCTGAAGGCCAAATGTGTGTGGCTCACGCCTTCACCCCTACTGCTGCCCTGGCTGGAGGACGCTGCCTGGTGGGAGCCAGTGTGTCGTGCGTGAGTGCTGGAAATGGGGGTGACACAGGGGTGTTGGGGCATCTGTCCTACCTGCCTTCTGCCAGCAAGCCCAGCCCTGTTCTCGAGTGACCCTGGGGGGGCTCTGGTGAATGGCAGGAATGGTGCCTGCCTCCTGGGTCCCCGAGCTCATTTCCTTTGCCCCACAGTCTCCCCTCCCTGTCTCTTCTTCTCTGTCCCTATGCCTAAGTCTGGGTCCCTTTCTTGGTCTCTCCGTCTGTCTCTGCTACCCCCACCCCCATCTCTCTTTCTCTCTGGAATCTGAGTCCCCTCCCAGGAGACGCCAAGGCCCAGCCCCTCCACCCTCCGCCCTGTGCTCAGTACTTCTGGCCCAGGGATCTCTCCCAATGGTTCCAGTGGAACCCCAGAGCTACAGCTGGGGTCACACCACCTGCCCAACTCAGACCAAGACTTGGGGGACATCCCATGTGGATGCTGAGCTGGATGACAGGCAATATCTGCCCAGTGCTCCGGCTGGCCTGGGGACCCATGGAGCAGGGCTGGCGCAGGATCCACCCTGGCCTTGACCGCCTCACTCTGCCCTTCCAGCCGTCTGCAGGCACGCCTGCGGTGAGGGCTTCTGCTCCCAGCCCAACCTGTGTACCTGTGCCGATGGGACGCTGGCCCCCAGCTGCGGGGTGAGCCGAGGTGAGAGGGAAACGGGCTTCTGTGGGAGGAGAAGGGCCAGGCTTCTGGGTGCCACGAGGAGCCCTGGCTGGCTTTGCCGAAGGCTGGACTGGGCTGGGCTGCCTGGCCTGGCCATCTTCCTTGGGCAGCTTCACCTCACGTCTGTCCCTCCTGGACCCTAGGGCCAGGGTGCAGTGTGAACTGCATGAACGGGGGCAGCTGCCAGGGAGAGTCCTGTCTGTGCCAAAGAGGCTACACGGGCACTGTGTGCGGACAGCGTGAGTGCCCCCAGGACTGGTTCCCAGAGGGTGGGTCCTGCAGCTTCTGCCCACTGCCCACACGTCCCTCATGGAGGACCAGGGATTGGAGGGCCACAGCCTTATCATTCGATCTGGGTCAGATGGTGGGGATTCCTGGGTGCAGACAGTCTTGCTGGGGCCCCAGCTCCCTCTGCGGGCTGGGGGACCTCTCGTCTCTCTCTCCTCTCCTTCCACAGCCGTCTGTGCCCGGGGCTGCTATAATGGCGGCCGCTGCATTGGTCCCAACCACTGCGCCTGTGTGTACGGCTTCATGGGGCCTCAGTGTGAGAGAGGTACCAAGGGGACCCAGGGGAGGAAAGGGTGTTTCCTGGCAGTGGCTGAGATATGGCCTGGCCCTGAGAGGGTCCAGCTGGCCTGAGTCCTGCTGCAGGGGCAGTCTGAGGACATTTCTTTCATTTGCTCATCCGTTTTCCAAAACATCTGTTATTCCCTGGCTGTGTGCGAGGCCCCGTGTTGGAGCCTAAGCAACATGTCGGTCTGAGGGACAGGAGGACGCAGCCCAGTTACAGAAAATTCTGAGGAGGGGTCAGTGCCACGATGAGGGGACTGTGAAGGGCAGAGAAATCATGGGGTCCAGGGAAGGGGGTCAGGGAGGGCTTCCTAGGGGAAGGGGCCCCCTCAGTTGGACCTCAGAGGATCTGTAGGAGTTCATGAGATAAATAATCCCCCCTTGGCTGAACCCTGGCTCATGAAACAAACCCACGTGGGGTCACCTAAATTAAGAGGGTGGAAGCAGTACTGTCTCGATGTCTTGGGGAAGGCTGGATGGGGGTTGGATGGAGTGAACCGTGAACCCCAGGTCTGGTCTGACAGCTGGGGAGAGGGTGGGCAGCAGGGGCCAGGGCAGGGGGAGACAGAGCCATCACTGTGCCCTCTGAGGAATTGCAGGGGTCAGTTGAGGTTCCCTGGGAAATGGGGAGGGGGGCAGCAGAGAGGGGGCCGCCTGGGCATTTCAGGGCAGACAGAGGTCAGGGAGCCCGAGGAGACGGAGAAGGGGAAAGAACAGGGGTGCAGGGCCGTGCAGAGGGCATCAGGGCACCCGGTGTGACCAGGGACCCCAGGAAGGTGAAGACCTCCAGGGGCCTGGGACTGACGCAGTCATGGGAGGGAGCAGGGACCCTCCCATCCGTGACAGAGGCTGGGTGGAGAGAGTATAGTGATGAATCAGAAGCTGCAGGGGCTTGGGGGTGACCTGGATTCCAGGGGGGGAGAGGAGAGGCCAGGGGTCGGCAATGGACAGTGGACACGGAGGGGCAGGTCTTGGGGACTAGGGCCCACAGGGGGTCTCTGAAGCCCCTTCTCCATAAGAGGCCGGGGTAGAGGGTGACTTTGGCTTTTTCTGGGAGGGGCTTCCTTGGTGGACTGCCAGCCTCTATATTGGAAACATCTGGAAGGTGGAGACAGGAAGTCACCTCAGTTGGCAGTTGGGGAAACGCTGTGGCTCCCCAGGGTGGGCCCTGGGATTCAGGGATGCAGCACTGAGGCAGATGGTGACTCCCTCCAAAATTTGGGAGACTTGGCAGGGCCAGGTATATGCTCAGGGTTGAGACCCTCCCCAGCGGGCTTCCATGGTCCCTGCTGGAAGGGGGGACGGGGTCCAGACAGACCTTGAGCTTTGTGGGCTTGGAGATCATGGCCTCTGGCTTGGAGGCTAGCTGAGGAGTCCTGAAGAGAAAGGATTTTGAAGGATGAGTGGATCATTAAGTAGGGAATGGAGAGAGAATGGAGGAGCAGAGGCTGGTGGGCAGGAAAAAGCCCAGTGTGTTGGTACAGAGGCTGGGACGGTAATGGGGAGGGACTTGGGTAAGTCTGAGGCCAGCTGCTTATATCCGTCTGCCCCACAGACTACCGGACAGGGCCCTGCTTTAGCCAAGTGGGCCCTGAAGGGTGTCAGCGCCAGCCCACCAGCCTCGTGTGCACTAAGGCGCTCTGCTGTGCCACCGTGGGCCGTGCCTGGGGCCTTCCGTGTGAGCTGTGCCCCGCACAGCCGCACCCCTGCCGCCGCGGCTTCATCCCCAGTGTCCGCACCGGGGCTTGCCAGGGTGAGTGGGTGTCCTCGAGGGGGAACAGAAGCCCTGGGAGCCAGGGCCGGTTGGAGCCTGTGGCACCTCGGGTCCTCCTTCTGATGGCCTCTCGCTCCCTTCCTGGGTTTCTTCCTTGCAGATGTGGACGAGTGCCGGGCGGTGCCAGGCCTGTGCCAGGGGGGCAGCTGCATCAACACCGTGGGCTCCTTCGAGTGCCGCTGCCCAGCTGGACACCGGCTCAGCGACAGTGGCGCGAAGTGTGAAGGTGGAGCACGGCCTGGGACCTGCTCTTGCCCGGGCACCCGGGCTTCCCCCGGGGAAGGTGGAGGGCCTGGCTGGGGAGGCGCGCTGACCAGGTCTGTCTGCACAGATGTGGACGAGTGTCTCAGCGTCCCCGGCCTCTGCTCCAGGGGCGACTGCACCAACACCGTTGGCAGCTACGTGTGCTCCTGTCCCCGAGGTTTTATCGGCAGCCTGGATGGCACCCGCTGCCTGGGTGAGGCCCTCCAGATGGGGCTGAGGGGAGAGGGTGGGTGGGAGACAGGTCCCTTGCTCATCTCTCTGCCACGCTCTGGTCCTCAGCTCTTCCTGCCCTCGGGTCTCTGTGCCGGTTCCCATCCCCTGAGGCTTCCTGGCTCCCTACCCATGAGCCTCTGGGCTCTGGGAGCCTCAGCTGGGGAGCCGCGGGCCCTCTGTGCTCTCCAGCACTCTGCTTCACTGACCCTACCCCATGGCCCTCTGCCCCTCAGACTCTCTGCCCTTCTGGATCCCTGCCCCTCCCCCACAGGCCTCCCCTGACCCTCTGGCTTTGATCCCTGTGCCCCCCTCTGACCCTCTGCCTTTCATTTCTGTGTCCCTCCACCCTCTAGCCTTCATCTCTAGGCCTCCTGCTGACCCTCTAGCTTTGATCTCCGTGCCCCCTGCCATCTAGCCTCCATCTCTGAACTCCCCACTGACCCTAAGCCTCATCTCTGTGCACCCCCCCACCCCCCCACCGTCCTCTAACTTTCAAATTTATGTCTGTTCCCTGCCCTCCCTCCCTCCCTCCCCATCCTGATGCCCCGCTGTCCACCTGCAGCTCTGTCCCCACACTCCATCCCTCTCCCACCTCGTCAGAAGCACCTCCTTTCCTTCCCCCACCCCATTTTGAAGATGGAGGATCAAGTTCAGAACCGAGACAGGACCACAGCCACTCCTCAGACCCCTAGCCAGGATGGGAGTCTCTGGCTTCGTGCCCCCCCATGCCCACCCTCCTGCACTCCCCACACCCCACCTGGCTGTTGGGGGCACCACCCGCTCTCCCTGCTTTCTAGAGGAGCTGGTTGTCAGGCCCTGGAAGTCGAGTGGGGTCCACGGGGTTAGCTGGGAATGTGGATGCTGGGGGGGGGGCGGGGTCCTGGTGTGGGGAGGGGTGGGCAGGGAAGGGGACTTGGCAGTTTCCCAGCATCACCCAGACCCCTCTGGCTGGGCCTATACCAGGCAGGGCGGGGATGTTATGTTTGGAGTGTGGCCAGGCTGCGGTGGACGACTCTTCAGGCCTCCACCTCTGGGGGTTATGGTGGCTGGCATGGAGAGGCGCCTGTGGGCACATCCCCTGGACCCTCCCCCAGCTCCTCAGGGCAGAGCCTGCATTTGAGCAAGTCTGGTTGCCTCAGAGCAGGGACTTTGCATTCCGTTTTGGGTTCTGAATACCAGCTGAGCTGCTCCCAGACTCTGAGACACTGGGTGACTGTATAACCTCTCTGTGCCTCAGTTGCCTCACCTATAAAATGGGCTGATAGTAGTCCCGACCTCATGGAGTTGTGGGGATTAAGTAAGGTAGGAGTTGTGATCTGCAGGTTCATAGAGGGCATTTGACACACACTCATCAAGACAGGGAGGGAGCTGGGGAAGCTGAGCAGGGCCATTCGGCAGGGACTGGTCACAGCCAGAGCAGCACCATCTCCATTAAAATTCTTACGCTGTCTCTTCCCTGTTTGAGAGGCAGCCTCCTGTTGGATCCCCTGGGGCTGGGAATCTGGTTTCCCATCCTTCTTTAGGTTTAGCAGCTGGGTGACCTTGAACGAGCTCTTGACCTCTCCTTGTCTGGGCAGGCCCAGCCCCCTTTTCGAGGCTGAGCTGTTGCTGAGCCCCTACACCCACACATGTGCCTGGGGGGCCCCAGGTGCACAGAGTGGGACTGGGGAGGTGGAAACATTCGCCACTTTTCCCAGCTTGGCCAGGGGTAGCTGCCAGCGGCCCGCCCAGCTGGTGGGAGGGTTTTCTCAACCATGGGCCACCAGCCAAGATTTGCAGGATTTTAAACTAAAAATATGCTCTTTCAGCCAAAGCCTGAGAAATCTGACCCCCACACAGAGCCAGGGGGCCCGGCGGCCTGGTGGGAAGTGGATGAGTGTCCGAGTGTCCATGCTGGTCATCCCTAGGAAGCCTGTGCCTCGGTCTCCCCACAGGCTGTGGCTGTCGACCCACCGCCTTGCCCCTCTGGGACCCTTCTCAAAGTCACAGCCTCCTGGGCTTCTCTGTAACACCCAAGGCCGGCCGGGGAGGACACACAGGGCAGTCTCAGTGTGCCTGCCCGACGTCCCGCTGGGCAGCCCCTCCCGGTCAAGAGGTCGTCCTGGGTGTGGTTGGACCTGTATTGACAGCGAGCTTACTACCTGTGCCAGCTTTAGATGTTGGAACCCTCATCTGAATAAGGTCAAATGTCCCTCTTACTCTCCCTGAGAATGACAGCTGGCTGCTCCAGGGTGGGTCACAGGCAAGCAGCACTCCTGAGGTGCGGTGGGTGTTGGCACAGTCAAGGAGGTCCGTTCCACCCGTAGGTGGCATGGGCGCACCTGGGGTTGAACTCAGGTCTGGCGACCGGTGCTCCCCGCCCTTGCCCTGTGCTGATGGGCCCACCTCTGCCCCGTTGCAGACCTCCGGATGGGCGCCTGTTTCTCCGTACTAATCGGGGGCCTCTGTGCTGGAGACCTTGCCGGTCATTACACTCACCAGCAGTGCTGCTGTGACAAGGGCCGGTGCTGGGCAGCTGGCCCAGTCCCTGAGCTGTGTCCTCCGCTGGGCTCTGGTGAGTGAGAGCTTGAGATTCAGTTGGTGGCCCCTGGGCAGGGCTGAGCGCCTGATCTCAAACCCTGTTTCTTGCAGCTGAGTTCCAGCGACTCTGTGCTCAGGGGCTCCCGCTGCTGCCTTCTCACCCGGGACCCTTCCCAGGCCTCTCGGGCTTCGGACCCAATGGTGTGGGTCCTGTTCCGGGGCCGGCACGACACGGGCCTCACAGCTCCGGTGGGCGTGGGGTCCCCAGTCTGGGCCCTGTTACCTCCAACAGTGGTAAGTCCTGGGACTTGGCAGGAGGGTTCCAAGACCAGGGGAGAGGCCCTGGACAAGGAGAGGGGGCTGCTCTCTGAGTCGGTCAGTGCTTTGGAGTGGCCTGGGTGGCAGGGAAGAAAGGACAGTCAACCTCTGGATCTGGGAGTTTCTCAGCCTCAAATTCAACCAACCATGGGTAGAAAATATTTTGGGGAAAAAATCACATCTGTACTGAATAGGTACAGGTGTTTTTCTTTACATAGCACATGTGTTGTAAGATAACACGTCACCCAGACATGAATGAAAGTCTGCGAGCCTGCGTGTAGGTTTAATGCAAATACTATGGCATTTTATGTAAGAGACTTGAGCATCTGTGGATTTTGGTGAATGTGGGGGTCCCTGGACCCAACCCTGAGATACAGAGGGATGCCTGGACTGTCTGGGAGTGGGGTCAGCTGGGGCGCTTGTCTTCAAGATCAGGCTTTGGACCCAGCCTGCGAGTCTTTCCTTTTCCTTCGGCCTGGGTTGGGGGTCTTGGCCCAGGGGGTGGGGTCTAGCCCTAGGGTGGGGATCTGAATCTAAGGTGTGACTCTGGGCTCAGGTGTGAGAGCTGGGACACGGGATGGGGTCAGGGCCAAGAGGCGAAGCCTGGAGACTCTGGCTGGGCCTCTGCCGGTGCAGGTACAGCCACTCTGAACCAAACCATTGACATCTGTCGGCACTTCACCAACCTGTGTCTCAACGGCCGCTGCCTGCCTACCCCTGCCAGCTACCACTGCGAATGCAACTTGGGCTACACCCAGGATGTGCGGGGCGAGTGTATTGGTGAGAGCAGACGGGCAGGGTGGGCTGGGCAGGGTGGCGTGCTCTGCCGGGCTGGAGCTCAGGGTCCTCTGTCTGCAGACGTGGACGAATGCTCAAGCAGCCCCTGCCACCGTGGTGACTGTGTCAACATCCCCGGCTCCTACCACTGCCGGTGCCACGAGGGTTTTCAGGCCACACTCACCAAGCAGGCGTGCGTGGGTACGCCCCGTCCACCTGAGAGTGGGGGAGGGGAGGGGAGCCTGGCCGGGTGGGGCCCCTCCTGACAGCCCACCTGCCGCCTCCTCCCAGATGTGGATGAATGCACTGTGAGTGGCGGCCTCTGCCATCTTGGCCGCTGTGTCAACACGGAGGGTAGCTTCCGGTGTGTCTGCCACGCAGGCTTTGAGCTCAGCCCTGATGGCAGGAACTGCGTGGGTGAGTAGAGGCTGGCTGGGTGGCAGGGGACTTCCAGGCCCCACAGCACCTGGAGTCCACTCCTGACCCAGAGCCCACCCCAGACCCACCCTAAACATTGCTTCTCTCCATCGCCCCAAATTATTTCCATGAATTGTAAGAAGGGGTCTCTGGGTGAGACCAAGCAGTCTAATGCCTAATCCTGGGCCTGAACTGGGGACCTTCCCTGTCCCAGGACAGCCCAGAAGGACTGGCTGCAGAGAGGGTGGGATCAGGACCTTGGAGAGCACCCAGCTCTTCGCTGCCCGAGGGGTTTGGGTAGGGTCTGGATCCGTGCTCAGTGGGGTCCCCCTCCTTTCTTTAGTCACCTTGTGAGAAGATCTGCCTCCAAAGTCCCTTCTATGGAAGGATTTTAAAGCATCTTTCTTGTATAATTTTCATACCATAAATCACCATTGAAAACCTGCAGTTCAGTGGTTGTTAGTAAATGCACAGTTGTACAAGCATCACCACAATGTAAGTTTAGGACATCTTTACTACTTAAAAAATAAAGCCCCGGTCCATTACTACTTCCTTCCTAATCCACTCTCCGCTCTCCAGCCTTCGACATCAGGCGGATCCACTTCCTCTCTCTCTGAATTTGCCTATTATGGACATTTTCTATAAATGGAATCACATACTATGTGGTCTTTTATGTCTGGCTTCTTTTGCTGAGCATCCTCCACCTGTAGCATGTGTCTGTACTTCATTTCTTTTCATGGCTGAATAATATTTCTCTGTATGAAGGAAGCACATTGCATTCATCCATTGATGGACATTTGGGTTATATCTATGTTTCAACCTTAGGGATAATGCTGCTATGAACATTCACATACCAATTTTTGTAAGGGATTTTTTTTTTTCAATTTTTGTATGGGATTTTTTTATACTAGGGTATAAAAAATATTATTTTTTATATTATTTTGAGACAGGGTCTCAATAAGTTTCTTAAGTCCTCACTAAGTCGCTGAGGCTGCCCTCAAACTTGTGGTCCTCCTGCTTCAGCCTCCCAAGCTGCTGGGATTACTGATGTGCACCACTGCTCCCGTCTTTTCTTTTTCCCCTTCTGTATGTGCTATCCGTTAGTGTACATAACAACACTTTGGGAAGCAACTCATCTCCTCACTTGCCACATTGCTTTAGATTAGATTGTTTTTTCATTAGCTGACTTTCACCTTTTTTTAAAATTGAAGTGAAGTTCACGTGACATAAATTGAATCGCTTTAAAGTGAATAATTTACTTAAATTTTTTTCAATGTACTTTATTTAAATGTAATCATTTGAAACTGAATAATTGGTGGCTTTGGGTACATTCCCAGGGTTACACAATCATCATTTCGCCTATTTAAAAGAAAATTTTGTTTCGCACTTTTTTTTAAGTGGCAAAATAAACATAATATAAAATTTGCTATGGTATATATATCATATTGGTTACTGTCAGTCGTCTAGAGATAATTAAAGTCTATGGCAGGTTGTGCCTAGGCTCCAGGCCAACGCCACCCCTTTACGTATGGGGCCTGAGCATCCTTGTGTCTAGTAAAGGAAACAAGTAACGGACAGTCACGGGCTGTCACATCCCAGGGAGGGTCCTTCAAAGGCTCAGCCCTGAGTCCTGGAGGAGAGAGAGAGGGGCTGGTCAACAGGATAGGGTGGCCTCCCTCCCTGGACCCAGCCTCTCCCGGTGTCCCCAGACCACAACGAGTGTGCCACCCACACCATGTGCCTCAACGGCGTGTGCATCAATGAGAACGGCAGCTTCACCTGTCTCTGCAAACCTGGCTTCCTGCTGGCACCTGGTGGCCGCTACTGCGAGGGTGAGGCTGGACTCCGACCAGCAGAGGGTGGCCGGGAGGGGGAAGGAAGAGGAGGGACAAAGAGAAGAGAGGAAGGACTAGGAGAAGGAGGTGAGGAGAGAAAAAGGAGAAGGAAAAAGAAGGGAAGAAAAATGGGGAGGGAGAAAGGAGGGTGGGGGAGGATGAGGGGGCAGAGAGGGAAGCACGGGCAATGGGAGGTGAGGGGGAAGGGGGCAGGTCCCAATGGGTCCCACTTATCCCAGACATGGACGAGTGCCAGACGCCAGGCATCTGCATGAACGGCCACTGCACCAATACCCAGGGCTCCTTCCTCTGCCAGTGCCTGGGGGGGCTGGCGGTGGGCGCGGATGGCCGCGCCTGTGTGGACACCCACGTGCGCAGCACCTGCTTCGGAGCCGTGCATAAGGGATCCTGCGCCCGCCCCTTCCCGGGAACAGTCACCAAATCTGAGTGCTGCTGCGTCAGCCCAGACCACGGGTTTGGGGATCCCTGCCAACCTTGTCCTGCCAAGAACTCTGGTAAGCCTCTGGTTGCCTGTCCCCACCCACCTCCTTGGTCCTGGGCCGTTTCTTTGGTCCAGGAAAGGGAAGAGACGAAAGGGGGTTGATCTCCCTTTGGGGATGTGGGCGGCACATCTTAGCCCCAGACTCTTGCCCAAGACCGAAGAGTCAGGGTCAAGAATGTGGCTGAAAGTCTACAATGGCTGACCTCCCGACCCATTTCCCTGGCTCTTCCCCCGCAGCCGAGTTCCAGGTGCTGTGCAGCAGCGGACTTGGCATCACCACGGATGGTCGAGGTAAGTGGGTGCAGCTCCCCCATCCCCGGCCAACGTGCTGTTGACCGGTGCTGCCAGGTAGAGGCGGGGTGTGGCTGGGAACTGTATTGTCCGCCAGAGCTGCCATAATCAAGTACGTAACCACATACTGCAGACTGGCTCCTCCAACCACGGAAGTTCATCCTCTTGGGGATCCTGGGGGCCAGAAGTTCAAGGTCCAGGTACAGGCAGGGCTGGGTCATCCTGAGGCCACGAGGGAGCATCTGTTCCAGGCTTACCTCACCCCTTGCTTTCAGTGATTTATTTGATGGTGATCCTTGGCATTCCTTGGTTTGAAGAAGTCTCATAGACTTTACATCATCTCTAGATGGCTTAGAACACCTAATACGATGTAGATGTTGTACACATGGTTGTCACACTGCATTGTTTAAGGAATAATGACAAGGGGGGAGAATCTGTGCATGATGGTGCACACTCAGGAGGCTGAGGCAGGGGGATCACGCGTTGGAGGCCAGCCTGGGAAATATAGTGAGACCTTGTCTCAAGATAAAATAAAAAGGTCAGGGCAGCAGTTCAGTGGTACAGTGCTTGCCTAACATGTGCGAGGCCCTGGGATTCATCCCTAGCACCAGTCACACAATAAAAATCTATACATGTTTAGTATGAATGCAGCTATTTTCTGAACGTCTTCCATCCTGGACTGGTTGAATCCACTGATGTAGAACCCACAGACACTGAGGGCCACCTGTATTATATTAAGGGATGCTATACAAATGTCTACTCCATGCCTTCCAAACTGGGGACAGGGGACATTTGGCAATGTCTGGCATCTCATGGGTAGAAACCAGGGATGCTGCCCCAACATTCTGCAAGGTGCAGGATGTCCCCCCACCCACAGTAAGGAATGATCCTGCCCCCAAGGTCAACAGGGCCAAGGCTGGGCAACCCTGGTAAGGGGAGAAGTGAAGCAAGGTCTGGGCTGGAACTCCAACCTGGGGGAGACCCCCGGAGAGCCCGTGCAGCTGCTGTCTCTCTCCTCCTGCTGCAGACATCAACGAGTGTGCCCTTGATCCCGAGGTCTGCACCAATGGCATGTGCGAGAACCTTAGGGGCAGCTACCGCTGCATCTGCAACCTGGGTTATGAGGCAGGAGCCACAGGCAAGGAGTGCATCGGTGAGCATGCCCACCACTGGTCAGGGGGTGGGCTCCTCCCACGGCAGACCCCTGATCCCTCTCTCCAACCCCACCCTACAGACGTGGACGAGTGTGCCCTCAACAGTCTCTTGTGTGACAACGGGAGGTGCCGGAATAGCCCTGGTAGCTATAGCTGCTCCTGCCCCCAGGGTTTCAGCTTCCGGCAGGATACAGAGACCTGTGAAGGTACAGGGTACCGGGCACACTTCTGGCAGCACACACGGGACACACAAACACACAAGCAGATACACATGCTGCATGTGGTGTGTGCACACACAGGCTCTACACGGCCGGGCCACCTGCTCCCTTCCTGGGCTGACCCCCTGCCACACCCTGACCTCTGTCCATTCTCCATTTTCCTCCTATGTCTCACTTTATCTCTCTCATGCCACAACCCCCTTTAGAGTCACCGGTCCACACCATGCATGCTCCTGAGACCCTGCACATCAGCATTCATGCACGGGGGCTGAGTTTGATTTATAATAAACATATTTTGGGCCATATTCCTGGCACAGTGCTTCAAACCCTCTTGTAATCTGAGCAGTAAAGATTCTAGGAGCATCTTGAGTCCTAATGGTTGGTTTTTGACCCTGAGTCCCGACATGGAGTTCTGAATCTCTTGGGATTTCCTGGGTGGTAGAAAGGTGTTTGGTTCTGATGAAGCAGCTGGTCACCAGAAAGACCAAGCCATGATTAGAAGCTGGGAGCTTTCCATGCTCCCTCCAACCTCTGGGAATGGAAGACGAGCTGGAGATGGAGTTAGTCATGCCTACATCACCAAGCCTCCATCAAAATCCCAGAATTATGTGGCCCGGGGAGCTTTCAGATAGCTGAAATGGCAGCGGCGTCTGGAGCTCCCCACCTGCTTCCCGATACCTCATCCTCTGGCCATGTTTGTGAGCTCCCCTGGAGTGTGCTAGGAAACGGAAGTCCAGTGCTTCCCCGAGTTCTGTGAGCCTCCAGCTAACCATGGAAGAGGCTCTGGGAACCCGCAGTTCCTGGCTAACCAGTCAGAAGCTCTGGAGGCCTGGATTTGAATGCCACCTACCTGGGTGGGGGGCAGTCTTATGGGACTGAACCCTTCACCTGTGGCATCTGCCTGTAACTCAGGTAGACAATGTCATCATTGAGTTGAGTCAAAGGGCACCCTGCTGGTGTGGGAGAATTGGTCAGTGTGGGGACAAAAATTCATGTCTAGTCACTGGAGTGTTTTGCGCTTCATTGAGGTAAGAGTAGGAAAAAGAGTGTGGTTTTTCTTGTCTCTTACACACACACACACACACACACACACACACTTTGAACATGCTTGCGTGCACACTCTATTCCCACATTCTCTGCCTGCTTCTGCTTGCATCTGGGTGTAGCAGCCCCCCGGGGAGGAGGGGGCCCCGGCCAGGTGTGCCTCCCCTTCCCACAGCTCAGCAAGTGGTGGTGGGCTGTCCCCGCAGACATCAACGAGTGCCTGTCCAGCCCCTGTGTGAACGGTGTGTGCCGAAACCTGGCGGGCTCCTACGCCTGCGAATGCGCCCCTGGCAGTCGGCTGGAGCCCTCTGGTACCGTGTGTGTAGGTGAGAGGGGTTGCAGATCCTGGGCCTCTGCAGGTGGAGGTGCAGGTGTAAGCCCTGCAGGTGAGACAGTGACCCCACCCCCTTCCACCCAGACAGCACAAAAGGCACTTGCTGGCTGCAGATCCAGGATGGCCATTGTGAGGTGAACCTGCAGGGAGCCGCTCTGCGGTCTGAGTGCTGCGCCACCCTCGGGGTCGCCTGGGGGAGCCCCTGCGAACGCTGCGAGATCGGTAAAGCTTATCTGGGGGCCTCCCGGGGCACTGCGCCTGCGTGCTCTGGTGCCCATTGGGAGCACGGGGTGGAGCTGGTACCCTGGGGCTGGCCGTAGAGTGATTCTTCTCTCCATCCCCATTCACCGAAATACAGACCCTACCTGTGCACGTGGATTCGCCCGAATGAAGGGTCTCACCTGCGAAGGTAACTCTGACCCTCTCTCTCCCGTTCTCTTCCCCTCCAAATCCACATATACAGGCAGGTGTGTGTTATACTTGGGTGCTCCTGGGGATCCTCCTGAGATAGAGACCGAGATTTTCCCTCCCTGGTACCCAGGTCTTCCCGAGATCCCCCAGTATCCTTGCCATGGTCCCCTCCTTCCTCCCCAAGGACAGCTTGGGCTTCCTGAGCTCCCAGGGGAATGACCAGCAGCCCTCTTGGGGGCCTCCAGCCCTCCCATCTCTGTCTTGCCTTCCACTGCCCAGATGTGAACGAATGTGAGTCCTTCCCGGGCATCTGTCTGAACGGGCGCTGCCTCAACACGGCTGGCTCCTTCCGCTGCGAGTGTCCCCAGGGCCTGAAGCTGGACGCCTCGGGCAGGCTCTGTGTGGGTGAGTCCAGGCACATCCCCAGAGGGGGCCCTGCCCTCCCCTCCTTCCCTCCACCTGCAGCGACTAAAGATGCCTCTAGGAACAGGACAGATGCGGGCCCTCCAGGACCCTCTACTCCCACTCAGTGCTCCCTGAGAATTTATATGCCTCCTCTCTGAGCATTGCAAATGACAAAACCCTCGTGAAATCGCATCTACATGCTTGGTTATTCTCTTTTCCAATAAAGTGTACCCGGGTGGCCCTGAGCAGGAGCCCCCAGGAGGCGTTCAGCCAGCGGGCTTGCTCACACACCTCCCTCAGTCTCGGGGCTCAAAGTCACTGGAATGTTTTGCTCTCAGTCTCAAAGTCTCTGAAATCCCAGCCCCCTCCTCTCAGCATTATTTTGAGGATTAAATGGATTGAGTGCTTGGTTAGCATCCAGGCAGTGAGCATTATTATTATGGAACTTCAGCGTGAGGAAGCTACGCCTTTTCCTTCTCCCCCCATGTTGGGGAGAAAGTTTCAGGCAGCGGGTCCCGAGCCCCCGCCTGCAGTGTGGCAGGGGTCTGACCTGGCGATCGCTGCTCTGTGCAGACGTGAGGCTGGAGCTGTGTTTCCTGCGCTGGGACGAGGACGACTGTGGGGTCCCCCTGCCCGGCAAGTACCGGAAGGACACTTGCTGCTGCTCCATTGGGGCTGCCTGGGGTGCTGAGTGCGAGGCCTGTGGGGGGCCCGACTCCCCGGAGTTCGCCAGCCTGTGCCCCCGAGGACGGGGCTTCGCCCCCCAGGACTTCCTGTCTGGCAGGCCCTTCTATAAAGGTGTGTGGGGAGGGGAGCCTGCAGGAGAGGCCCTGGCAGGATGGGGAAGCCAGAGGAGGGGACAGCATGGGGACAGTCCTGGAGGTGGGAAGTGCCTGGAGAGGGAGGTGAGAAAGTTCAGGGGTCAGAACCCGGGAGGGCTTGGTTGACGATTCCCAGCTTCAGGATGTGGGGTGGTCTGATCACGTGTCACACACCCCCACACTCCAGATGTGAACGAGTGCAAGGTGTTCCCCAGCATCTGTACCCACGGCACCTGCCGCAACACCGTGGGCAGCTTCCACTGCTCCTGTACCGGGGGTTTCGCCCTGGATGCCCAGGAGAGGAACTGCACAGGTAGGTGCCCCCTCTGCCTCTTGGAGAGGGGAGTCATCCATGCAGGGATGGCGGCCTTGAGTCAGAGGTGGAAGCATGACCCATGTAGGTGCCTCTTGTACCCACCTGTGTGCTGTGTGACCTAGGGTAGGTCTTTACCCTCGCTGGGTTGTAGGAACCCTCTGTCCCTGTGGAAGGGCTCCAAATGTGACCACTCAGGGCCTCCAAGCTAAAAAGACCCCTGCCTTGCTCAGTGTTCAGAGCAAACACCTCTTTCCCTGCTCCGTGAAGCGTCCAGGGCTCCCCTGCAGCCCCTTGTGTCCGCAGAGGTGGAGACGCTGCCCTGGATCTCCTCTTGGGTCAAGTCCAGGGACCCCTAGGGATCCTCCTCCCCAATCCCCCACGCCACACACACAGACCCTGGCCCACACCCCCTGTCCCCACAGATATCGACGAGTGCCGCATCTCCCCCGACCTCTGCGGCCAGGGTGCCTGTGTCAACACTCCGGGCAGCTTTGAGTGTGAGTGTTTCCCTGGCTACGAGAGCAGCTCTGTGCTGATGAAGAACTGCATGGGTGAGCGGCCGCAGGGTGAGGGCGGGGTGGGGTCCAGAGGAGGGGCCTGGAGCCTCACCGGTGGGGGGCAGGCATGGGAAGGGGCTGCCATCCAGCTAGGGAAGAGCACATCTGGATGCCACAGTCTGTCTTTAGGAGAGAGGCCTGGGGACTGAGACCTGGGTGGGGACATGCGGACAGTGAGGTCTCCCAGGAGGGGTGCAGCATGAGAAAGACAGGGCTCCACAGAGAAGCTTGGGAGACACTGCCGTTCAGAGGCCTCAGCCCCATGGTTCCTCTGTTACTCATTCAGTGAACATTCCACTGCAGAGAGCTTAGCCATAGAGCTGTTTTCTTGGAGCTCATGGCCTTGTGGGGAAACAGATGTTAAAACGAATCCCCAAAGCAATGCACAATTTCCAATAGGAATGCGGACCTGGAAGATGGGCCCATCCTGTGGGACCTGGGGAGTGGCTGAGAGCAGTGGGAGAAAATGGGGTGAAGAGAAGCTAGAGGGACAGCCTGGAGTGAGAACAGCATATGCAAAGGCCCTGAGGTGGGCCTAGGGCTAGAAGGAGACAAAGGTGGCTGCAGGGCTGAGCCTGGTCCAAAGGGGAGGGGAGGGGCTTCTCAGGGCTTCTGTCCGTGATTCCAAGTGTTGGCCTCCTGTCCCAGTTCTGCGAATTCTAGTCCCTCTTCCCCAGATCTGACTTGTCCCTGCTTCTCCCAGCTCAGACCTCACTGTCCCCGGTCATCCAAGCCCTAAGCCTCTGGGCTGTCCTGGCTTCAGCCAGGGTGAGGGAGCCTGGGGCAGCAGGGGAAGCTTCCAGGAGCCACTTCACCGCCTCCTCCAGTTGGCGTCTTCAGCCTGCTCTTTTCATACATTCAGATGTGGACGAGTGTGCAAGGGACCCGCTGATGTGCCGGGGAGGCACCTGCACCAACACGGATGGGAGCTACGAGTGCCGGTGTCCCACAGGACATGAACTGGTGGCCAAGGGCACTGCCTGTGAGGGTGAGTGTGCATCCTGCACACGTGATGTGTATATGTGCACGTGCCCTGAATGTGCTAGTGGGAGTGTGTGTCTCAGTGTCTACCGTGTGAGATGGCGGGTGATTGTATTGGTGTATCTGAGGATGGGCTTATGTGTGAGTGTGCAAATGTGTGTGTATGTGTGTGATTGCATGCACCGGGTGGTGGAAGTGTACATTTGTGTGTCTCCATGGGTGCACAGGAATGAGATTGGAGGAATGTGTGTCTGTGAACGTGAACGTGTACCTGTGAATGCATCTATATGAGTGAGGGTGCCTGTGAGGATGTATGTGTGTGCCTATACAGGGTGTTCACATGTGTGCAGATGTGAGGGGGTGTGCATGTGTGTGAGCATGTAAGACGTGTGAGTGCGTATCTGGATGTGAATGTGTCTATAGAGGACAGAAGTGTTTGCATGTGAGTGTATGAGCTTGTATGGCTGTGCAAGAGATGTGAGTGTGTATGGATGCACGTTTACACAAGGAAAATGGGTTTGTGAGTGAGGGCATGTTCATGTGTGTGAGCATGCACATGGTGTGAATCTACCTGAGTGCGAGTGTACATTCAGGTGTACAAGTGTGAGCATAAGTATGAGTTAGTGTGAGGTGTGTTTGTGAGTCTGAGTCTGTGTATTTGTGTTTGTAACGGAGTGTGTATCTGTGGCTGTGTGCACCAGGGACGAGTGTGCATGGTGTGAGTGTGTGTTTGTGTGAGTAGGCAGGTGCCCGTGGAGGGAGTGCTGATGTGGGGAGTGTGAGCTGATGGGTTAGGTGTGTCTCACCACAAAGAGGGCAGAAGGTACAGGTCCCTCCTTCACCAGGGAACCCTACCAGCCTTGTGCTTCCCCCCACCCCACAGACATCGACGAGTGTGCCCTGAGTGACAGCCTGTGTCCGCACGGCCAGTGTGTCAACGTCATTGGTGCCTTCCAGTGCTCTTGCCACGCTGGCTTCCAGGGCACGCCTGACCGCCAGGGCTGTGTGGGTGAGCCTGCGCTTGCCCCAGATCCCCGCTGCAGCCCAATGGCGCCTGCCCCAGATCCCGTGCAGCTCAATGGCAGCCGCTGCAGTTCCTGCTGGCCTCCTCTCGGGTCTCACTCCACTCTTGCCCCTGAATGAGCCGCACCCACCCGGGCCCCGCCCACTGTCCCACCCCCACCCCACCAGACTGCTCCCACTTTCCAGTCCACCCAACCCGCCCCGCCCACTTCCCTGGCCCCATGCACTGCCCCACCACACCAGACCCCTCCCACTTCCCAGCCCCGCCCACCAAACCATGCCAGGCCCCTCCCACTTCCCTGGCCCAACCCACACATGGCCCCTCCCACTGCCCAACTCCACTGCTTCCCAGCCCTGCCCGTGCCCAGCCCCGTGCACTGCCCCAGCTGCTCCCTGTCTGCCCTGCCTCCTGTAGACATCAATGAGTGTCAAGTGCAGAATGGTGGCTGTGAAGTGCACTGCGTTAATACTGAAGGCAGCTTCCGGTGCGGCTGTGGACAAGGCTACTTGCTGATGCCTGATGGGAGGACCTGTGCAGGTGGGTGGGCCTGGCCTCTCTCTCTGCCTGGGATGGGGACTTGCTGGCATTAGCCAAGCCCCAAAGTGGCCCAGAGGCCAGCATCACACAAAGTCCAGGGCAAAGCCAAAGCATCCCTGCCTGTCCTTGTGGGCTGCTGACTCTGGGAGAAGGATCCTGGGATCTCCCCGCATGCTGTGCACTTGCAGCCCATCCTCCACTCCTGTTCTTCCAGATGTGGACGAGTGTGAAGAGAACCCAGACATCTGTGACCGGGGCCAGTGCACCAACACGCCCGGGGGTCATCGCTGCCTGTGTTATGATGGCTTCACAGCCACTCCGGACATGACAACATGTGTCGGTGAGAAGCCAGGACTGTGGGGTGGAGGAGGCAACATCAGAACCCCTACTCCCCCTACTAGGAGGCACGAAGGCACAAGTGCGAGGTCCCATCCCTGTCAGGAAAGGGAGGTGAGGCTTGGTAGCAGTGCTCAGTGGGCTGCTTGGAGGCCACCAGCACTGAGGCCTGCCTCCAAAGCCCTGGAGTCTCTCGTAGAAGCAGAGCCAGCCAAGCCTGTTCTTAGGGATCACCTTTTGTATATATTTAGTTTTTAGTGTTTTAGGTGGACACAACATCTTTATTTTACATGTATGTGGTTCTGAGGATCAAACCCAGTGCCTCATGCATACTAGGCGAGCACTCTACCACTGAGCTACAACCCCAGCCCCTTAGGGATCACATTTATTGAGCATTCACTGTGAACCCAACACCAACCAGAAAATCATGCTGTATTCTGGGGGTTGGTGCTTTCAGATCATCCCAGGCAAAGGGGAGAGGGAACAGGATGAGAGAGAGAGAGTCAGAACGGTGTTCTGTGAGCCCTGTTTGGGGTTTTGCAATCCCTGTCCTCACCCAGCCACAGGTGTCCCTGGGGACTGGGGAGGAGATGTGTACTGGGTGCCCTACCAGGGCAGAGCTGAGGGGAGAGTGGGAAGTTCCAGAAGTAACCATGTGACTCCTGACCAAAACTTACTTGGACAGTGGAACTTGAGTCCCATGCACCGGGATTTCAGAAAAAAGCCTTGTGAACAAGTAAATGTAGGGATTGCTGTCCACGTAATCCTGCTGCAGACCTCACGTGAAGTCCTGCTGGAGGCAAGCCTGGCTGTCTTGTGGAACTCGTTCCCTAAATGTCCTGGACAGTGCAGGCCTGTCATGGCTCACTGGCTCCTGTGTTCCATGAAGCACATGCTGTGAAACACTCATCACAGGACACCCAGCCTGCTGCTGGCTTCCGTCCTGCCCTCCCCCAGCACCTAATCCTCAGGCCTCCTGCCCTCTCACCCTACAGATGTGAACGAGTGTGACTTTAACCCTTACATCTGCATCCACGGGATCTGTGAGAACACAAAGGGGTCCTTTGTGTGCCACTGCCAGCCAGGCTACGTCGTCAGGAAGGGGGCCACGGGCTGCTCAGGTGAGCTGGTGGTCAGTGATGCAGGTGAGAGGGACTCCAGGGGCCAGCTTGATGGTCATCAGGGCTGCCCCAGGCCTCAGGCAGAGTGTAGCCAGAACTCATTCTGATGGATCTCCACTGATGACACCTCGTGTGAATGCACTGCCCCGGGGTCCCCTTAAACAGCTGGACAGAGCACCCCCAAATGCCCACAGCACCTTCCCAACACAGCAGGGGAGCCTCTGTTTTACAGGACACATTGAAACACCGAATTTTTATAGAATCCGTTTCCTGGGGCTGTCAGATGAGCATTTGCCTCTTAGTATAAAATCCCAGGGATTTGGCCTCCCTCCAGAAAAAAGTTCTGGAGCCAAAAGGCCTGAAATCAAGGTGTGGCCAGGCTGGGTTCCTTCTTGGGAGTTCAGAGGGAGAGTCTGTCCCACGCATGTCTCCTAGCTTCTGAAGGTTGCTCACAATCTTTGGAGTTCCATGGCTTCACCTTGACCTCTTCCTTCCACAAACACGGCACAGTACTGCCATAAAAGCAGACACATAGACTCATGGAATAGACCAGGGGGCTCAGAAGTCAACCCCCACAGCTACAGGCATCTGATTCTTTTTTTTTTTTTTATTGGTTGTTCAAAACCTTACAAAGCTCTTGACATATCATATTCCATACGTTAGATTCAAGTGCGTTATGAACTCCCATTTTTACCCCAAATACAGATTGCAGAATCACATCGGTTACACATCCACATTTTTACATGATGCCCTATTAGTAATTGTTGTATTCTGCTACCTTTCCTATCCTCTACTATCCCCCTCCCCTCCCCTCCCATCTTCTCTCTCTACCCCATCTACTGTAATTCATTTCTCTCCTTGTTTATTTTCCCATTCCCCTCACAACCTCTTATATGTAATTTTGTATAACAATGAGGGTCTCCCTCCATTTCCATGCAATTTCCCTTTTCTCTCCCTTTCCCTCCCACCTCATGTCTCTGTTTAATGTTAATCTTTTCCTCTTGCTCTTCCTCCCTGCTCTGTTCTTAGTTGCTCTCATTATATCAAAGAAGACATTTGGCATTTGTTTTTTAGGGATTGGCTAGCTTCACTTAGCATAATCTGCTCTGATGCCATCCATTTCCCTGCAAATTCCATGATTTTGTCATTTTTTAGTGCAGAGTAATACTCCATTGTGTATAAATGCCACATTTTTTTTTATCCATTCATCTGTTGAAGGGCATCTGGGTTGGTTCCACAGTCTAGCTATTGTGAATTGTGCTGCTATGAACATCAATGTGGCAGTATCCCTGTAGTACACTCTTTTAAGGTCTTCAGGGAATAGTCGAGAAGGGTAATAGCTGGGTCAACTGGTGGTTCCATTCCCAGCTTTCCCAGGAATCTCCATACTGCTTTCCAAATTGGCCACACCAATTTGCAGTCCCATGAGCAATGTACAAGAGTACCCTTTTCCCCACATCCTCGCCAGCACTTGTTGTTTGACTTCATAATGGCTGCCAATCTTACTGGAGTGAGATGATATCTTAGGGTGGTTTTGATTTGCATTTTTCTGACTGCTAGAGATGGTGAGCATTTTTTCATGTACTTGTTGATTGATTGTATGTCCTCCTCTGAGAAGTGTCTGTTCAGGTCCTTGGCCCATTTGTTGATTGGGTTATTTGTTATCTTATTGTTTAATTTTTTGAGTTCTTTGTATACTCTGGATATTAGGGCTCTATCTGAAGTGTGAGGAGTAAAAATTTGTTCCCATGATGTAGGCTCCCTATTTACCTCTCTTATTGTTTCTCTTGCTGAGAAAAAACTTTTTAGTTTAAGTAAGTCCCATTTGTTGATTCTTGTTATTAACTCTTGTGCTATGGGTGTCCTATTAAGGAATTTGGAGCCTGACCCCACAATATGTAGATCGGAGCCAACTTTTTCTTCTATAAGACGCAGAGTCTCTGATTTGATATCAAGCTCCTTGATCCATTTTGAGTTAACTTTTGTGCATGGCGAGAGAAGGGGATTCAGTTTCATTTTGTTGCATATGGATTTCCAGTTTTCCCAGCACCATTTGTTGAAGATGCTATCCTTCCTCCATTGCATGCTTTTAGCCCCTTTATCAAATATAAGATAGTTGTAACTTTGTGGATTGGTCTCTGTGTCCTCTATTCTGTACCATTGGTCCACCCGCCTGTTTTGGTACCAGTACCATGCTGTTTTTGTTACTATTGCTCTGTAGTATAGTTTGAAATCTGGTATCGCTATACCGCCTGATTCACACTTCCTGCTTAGAGTTGCTTTTGCTATTCTGGGTCTTTTATTTTTCCATATGAATTTCATGATTGCTTTGTCTATTTCTACAAGAAATGCCATTGGGATTTTGATTGGCATTGCATTAAACCTATAGAGAACTTTTGGTAATATCGCCATTTTGATGATGTTAGTTCTGCCTATCCATGAACAGGGTATATTTTTCCATCTTCTAAGATCTTCTTCTATTTCTCTCTTTAGGGTTCTGTAGTTTTCATTGTATAAATCTTTCACCTCTTTTGTTAGGTTGATTCCCAAGTATTTTATTTTATTTTTGAGGATATTGTGAATGGGGTGTTTTTCCTCATTTCCGTTTCAGAAGTTTTGTCGCTGATATACAGAAATGCCTTTGATTTATGCATGTTGATTTTATATCCTGCCACTTTGCTGAATTCATTTATTAGTTCTAGTAGTTTCTTTGTAGACCCTTTTGGGTCTTCTAGGTATAGAATCATGTCATCTGCAAATAGTGATAATTTAAGTTCTTCTTTTCCTATTTTTATGCCTTTAATTTCTTTCATCTGTCTAATTGCTCAGGCCAGTGTTTCAAGAACTATATTGAATAGAAGTGGTGAGAGAGGGCATCCCTGTCTTGTTCCAGATTTTAGAGGGAATGCCTTCAATTTTTCTCCATTCAGAATGATGCTAGCCTGAGGCTTAGCATAGATAGCTTTTACAATGTTGAGATAAGTTCCTGTTATCCCTAGTTTTTCTAATGTTTTGAACATAAAGGGATGCTGTACTTTGTCGAATGCTTTTTCTGCATCTATCGAGATGATCATATGGTTCTTATCTTTAAGTCTATTGATGTGATGAATAACATTTATTGATTTCCGTATATTGAACCATCCTTGCATCCCAGGGATGAATCCTACTTGATCATGGTGCACAATTTTTTTGATGTGTTTTTGTATCCGATTCCCCAGAATTTTATTGAGGATTTTTGCATCTAGGTTCATTAGAGATATTGGTCTGAAGTTTTCTTTCTCTGAGGTGTCTTTGTCTGGTTTCGGAATCAGGGTGATGTTGGCCTCATAGAATGAATTTGGAAGAGCTCCCTCTTTTTCTATTTCCTGAAATAACTTGAAAAGTATTGGTATTAATTCTTCTTTAAAGGTTTTGTAAAACTCCACTGTATACCCATCCGGTCCTGGGCTTTTCTTGGTTGGTAGTCTTTTGATTGCTTCTTCTATTTCATCCGTTGATATTGGTCTGTTCAAATTGTGTGTATCCTCCTGACTCAGTCTGGGCAAATCATATGACTTAAGAAATTTATCAATGTCTTCACTATCTTCTATTTTATTGGAATATAGTTTTTCAAAATAATTTCTAATGGTCTTCTGTATTTCTGTAGCATCTGTTGTGATATTGCCTTTTTCATCCCGTATGTTAGTAATTTGAGTTTTCTCTCTTCTTCTCTTCATTAGCATGGCTAAGGGTCAGTCGATCTTATTTATTTTTTTGAAGAATCAACTTTTAATTTTGTCAATTTTTTCAATAGTTTCTTTTGTTTCAATTTCGTTGATTTCCGCTCTGATTTTAATTATTTCTTGCCTTCTGCTACATTTGCTGTTGTTTTGCTCTTCCTTTTCTAGGGCTTTGAGATGAAGTGTGAGCTCATTTATTTGTTGTTTTTTTCTTTTTTTGAGGAATGACCTCAAGGCGATGAATTTCCCTCTTAAAACTGCTTTCGTTGTGTCCCATAGATTCCGATATGTTGTGTCTGTATTTTCATTTATCTCTAAGAATTTTTTGATTTCCTCCTTTATGTCTTCTGTAACCCATTGATCATTCAGTAACATATTGTTCATTTTTCATGTGATGTAGGATTTTTCCTTCCTTCTTTTATCATTGATTTCCAGTTTCATTCCATTATGATCAGATAAAATGCATGGTATTATCTCCACCCCTTTATATTTACTGAGGGTTGCCCTATGGCATAATATATGGTCTATTTTTGAGAAGGATCCATGTGCTATTGAGAAAAAAGTATATCCACTTGATGATGGTTGATATATTCTATATATGTCAGTTAAGTCTAGGTTATTGATTGTTGTATTGAGTTCTATAGTTTCTTTATTCAACTTTTGTTTGGAGGATCTGTCCAATGGTGAGAGAGGTGTGTTGAAGTCACCCATAATTATTGTGTTGTGGTCTATTTGATTCTTGAACTTGAGGAGAGTTTGTTTTATGAATGTCACAGCACCCTTATTTGGTGCATAAATATTGATAATTGTTATGTCTTGTTGGTGAATGGTTCCTTTTAACAGTATATAATGTCCTTCCTTATCCCTTTTGATTAACTTAGTCTTGAAGTCGATTTTATTCGATATGAGGATGGCCACCCCTGCTTGCTTACGAGGACCGTGTGTGTGGTATATTTTTTCCCAACCTTTCACCTTCAGCCTGTGTATGTCTTTTCCAATCAGATGTGTCTCCTGGAGGCAGCATATTGTTGGATTTGTTTTTTTAATCCATGTTACCAGCCTATGTTGCTTTTTTGGAGAGTTTAAGCCATTAACGTTTAGAGTTACTATTAATATATGGTTTGTACTTCCAGCCATGTTTGATTATTTATCTTTTTTTTTTAATTTAGTTTGTTTCTCCATGATTAGCTTTCCCCCCTGCCCTCTGTCTTTACTGAGGTTCTTCCCACTGATGGTTTTCATTATTGTTTATCATTTCTTCCTCATGTAGTGTTTTGCTCAAGATGCTTTGCAGTGCTGGTTTTCTGGCTGCAAATTCTTTTAACTTTTGTTTATCATGAAAGATTTTTATTTCGTTGTTGTACCTGAAGCTTAATTTTGCTGGATACAAAATTCTTGGTTGGCATCCATTGTCTTTCAGTGTTTGAAATACGTTGTTCCAGGATCTTCTTGCTTTCAGCGTCTGTGATGAAAAATCCGTTGTTAACCTTATTGGTTTACCCCTGAATGTAATCTGCCTCCTTTCTCTTGTAGCTTTTCATATTTTCTTTTTGTTCTGTATATTGGATATCTTCATAACAATGTGTCTTGGCGTTGGTCTACTGTGATTTTGTATGCTCGGTGTCCTGTATGCATCGACAATTTGTATATCCGTTTCCTTTTTTATTTCTGGAAAGTTTTCTATAATTATTTCATTCAGCAGGTTGCACATTCCCTTGGTTTGAACCTCTATACCTTCCTCTATCCCGATGACTCTTAAGTTTGGTTTTTTATGTTATCCCATATCTCTTGGATGTTTTTCTCGTGATTTTTTACCAGCCTTTCTGAGTTGGCTAGACTCTTTTCAAGATGATATATTTTGTCTTCATTATCTGATGTTCTGGCTTCTACTTGCTCCACTCTGTTAGTGATACTCTCATTTGAGTTTTTAATTTGGTTTATAGTTTCCTTCATTTCTAGAATTATTATTTGATTTTTTTTATAATCTCTATCTCCTGATAAAGATGCTTATTTGCTTCTTTTATCTGTTTATGTAATTCATTTTCAATGTGTTCTTTCACTGTTTGAATTTGCTGTCTCATATCCTCTTTAAGATTCCATTCCATCTGTCTAAGGTATTCCTTGAGTTCTTTATTTGGCCATTTTTCTGATGCCTGTAGGTCCTCCTGAATATTTAGGCTGTCCTGCATTGTTTGTACTCCTTTTCTTCCTTGCTTTTTCATGCTGCTCATGTTACTTCTTGTTTTGTTTGACTGCTGAGTTATTGTTTACTCCTATAAATTTATTTGATGCTTGGGAGGAAAGGTATTAGAAGGGAAGGGAAGAAGTCACTAAAGAGAATGAGAGTAAGCAGGTAGAGTTCAAGGAAGGGGGAATAAGGAAATTGAAAAGAAATGAAAAGACAAAAGAAAAAAATAGAAAATAAAAAAAGAAAAAAAAATTTAAAAAAAATCAAAATTAAAATTAAAAAAATAATAAAAAAATTTTAAAAAAATTAAAAAATGAAAATGAACCCCCCCAAAAAAATTAATAAATGAAGTTTGATTAACTTCTCTTCCAGGAGGTGGAGCTGTGCCCACCGGGCCAAGCTTCTCCTCTCAATACACGGGAACCAATCACTGTGCAGCAGCTCCTCCTCCCAGACTGGGCGGGTCTCCAATCCTGAGTGCCTAGGGCCTTCTCTTGTGTCTAGTCACTTCCCTACTTTTCCTCAAGCCAGGCCCCGCTCACCGGTGGCACTCACCACAATACTGGCTACACGCCAGGTCTGCTGCTCCCAGGAGCCCTATTTTCTTGAACGACTGGGCACACTCTCCCTGTTTGCCATTCCCTCAGACCCTGTGTTTGTGGAGCTTGGGGCTGAGAACCCTCAGTGAATTTTGCTTGCCCTCCGGTAACCACGCCCCCGGTAGCTGGTGCAAGAGACCTCAGTTGTCAGCACTGGTGGGAGCGGTAGCTGGGGGTCCCGCGCCGTGGGTCCCACGCCACTCCTGATTCCCTCGGTCTGACTATCGTGCTCACGGGAGAGCTGGGAGGGGCCCTTAAGGTTTTCCCGCTGTGTGGAGAGGAAGGGCTAGGGGGTTACACACCTGTCGCCGCCAGTTTCAATGAAGTTATCTCCTCCGCCACATTCTGGTGACATCAGTTCTCTGCCATGGTGGTATCCCATGCAAATGGCGACAGTTCGTTCCCTTTGCCGGGTGACCGATGCAACGGGTGGGTCCTGACTGTCTCTCCCAAGCCCCGTCTCAATCCTGTGGCCACTACCTATGAAGGCTCGGTTGGTATTAACCTCCGCAGGTTCAGAAGGACTGACCAGTTGTTTCAGCGGGATCGTTTAGTGCTGACTCACAGCGGTTTGTCTGCGAGACGCAGGCGAATGGGAGCTTGAATTCAGCCGATCCGGGCTCAGTGTGTGTTCTGAGAGGCCCTGACTGTTCGCCCCAGATCCACGTCAGCTCAGCATTGTCTAGTGGTCCTGAGCAAACAGCATTTAGACGATTTATGACTCCCTATGCCCGCGCAGCTGAAGAGGTCAGAGACTTGATCTCTCCACGCCCACCGCCATGTTGGATCTCCCCAGGCATCTGATTCTTGACCAAGGGGCCAAAAATGTGTGGTAGGGAAAGTCAGCCCCTTTGACAAATGGTACTGGGTGGATTTCCGCATGTGGAAGAGTGAAAGGTGAACCCATCTCCAAATGAGAACACATTCACAGATTCAAGGGGTTAGGACTTGACTGGGTGTTGCAAGGGCCCACATCCCTGCACGCTCTAGTTGTATAGTTATTTGAGTGTGTGTTAGATAAAAGATTGCATCGCAGAACGTCAAGCCCTATGATTTTTTTTCTTCCCATGCACTGTATGGGACCCAGGGCCTGGTGCAGGCTAGGCAAGTGCTCTACCACTGAACTGCACCCCTAGCCCAAACCCATGACTTTGAGTTTGTCGGTGTTTTTATAAATTTTTCTTTTAAAATACATTTTTGCAAGTATAACTGAGAGTCCAGGTAAAGAAAGGTTCAGTAACAGTAGCCACTTAGGTGGTGCACCAACACTGCAGAGATGATAAAGGTGATGCAAAACTGACTCAGTTAGAAATGACAGAGTAGAAGGAAACCCTGGTTTAACTCTTCATTGGGACAGTTACTCTTAATGTCTACCTGAGTCTCTTGTGTGGCTATTTTAGATCATTTCTGAGGGCTGCTAAGAGTTATGCCTATTGGGTTGGGGATTTCTCTCTTGGACTTTGGATAAAGACAGAAGGTCCTGGGGTAGGCGGAAGGAGACTCTCTGGGGACTTTCTCCCTCTTTTCACTGCTATCACAACAAGCCTCCCCCTCTGAGACTGGGCCCTGTCATTTCTCCTCCCCACTCAGATGTGAACGAGTGTGAGCTTGGGGGACACAACTGTGACAGCCACGCCTCCTGCCTCAACGTCCCTGGGAGTTTCAGCTGTAGGTGCTGGCCAGGCTGGGTGGGGGATGGCTTCGGATGCCAGGGTGAGTACCTGGGGCAGGCGTCCCTACAAAGTAGAAGAGGGGGCTGGGGATGTGGCTCAAGCGGTAGCGCGCTCGCCTGGCATGCGTGCGGCCCAGGTTCGAACCTCAGCACCACATACAAACAAAGATGTTGTGTCCACCGAAAACTAAAAAATAAATATTAAAAAAAAGAGAGAAGAGGTAGGTGGGTGCAAGGTGGAGATGGTGTGGCTGGGTCCAGGGCCGGTGGGACCATGCAGGGCTGGGTTGGAGGGTCTGCCTCTCTGTAGCCCCTGGCATGCACACTGGGGGACTCCACTCTCTGTCCCCTACAGACCTGGATGAGTGTGCCCTCCGAGAGCACCGGTGCAGCCCGCGAGCCGACTGCCACAACACCCCTGGTTCCTATCGTTGCGCCTGCCGCCAGGGATTTTCTGGGGATGGCTACTCCTGTGAAGGTGAGAGGAAGCAGGTGCAGACACCAGAGAGAGGGATAGCCACGAGGCTGGACTCGCCACCTCCCACCCTGGGGATGCTGGAGAGATACAGCCTCAGCCCCCAGGCCACCTACCCACCCGCGAAGGCTGTCTTCTCCCTTGGACTCCGCGTGCTTGGGGATGCTTGCTTACTACCTGGCTGCCCTCTGCCCAAGGCCCTGAGTGACCAAATCCCTCTCTGCCCGACTGCTGGAGTCTGCATGTCCAGAGCCCCCTCTCCTCTCCCTGGCCCCTGTCTTGATCACATGCCCACCCCGAGTTGGGGTCCAAGTTCCTAGAGCTTCATTCCTGCGTCCCTGGGGACACTGAAGTGTTCGAGTGACTGGATCCTCCCACCCACCTCGTGGGGTTCCAGCCCAGCTGGCCCCCAGCCCTCCGCCCCTTGGGTTCCGTAGACAGGGACGAATGCGCTGCGGACATGGACCTCTGTGAGAGCGGCCAGTGTCTCAATGTACCTGGTGGCTTCCGCTGCGAATGTGAGATGGGCTTCAGCCCCACCGAGGACCACCGGGCCTGCCAGGGTGAGGCCCGGGCTCCACTGGATAGGGGGCAGAGCAGGTGGGTCCCCAAACATGCTGTCCAGCCAGGCGGGCTGACCTGGGGTCCCTACAGACGTGGACGAGTGTGCTCTTGGGAACCTCTGCACGTTTGGGACCTGTGAGAACCTGCCTGGGATGTTCCGCTGCATCTGTGACGATGGCTATGAGCTGGACCGCAGTGGCGGCAACTGCACAGGTGCGGGGTCAGCCAGGCTGGGGAAGCAGGGATACAGGACTGAGGGTGGGGGCGTGGCTTGCTCCCTCGCTGCCCCCCCCCCTCCCCCCCGGGAGCGGGCTTGCCTGACCTCAGCTCTGCAAGCCAATCTCCATTGGCTGTACTCCACTCTGCCGCTGTTGAACAGTCACAGACGATACGTAAATGAATGGCCATAGCCATTTGCCAATAAAACTTTATTGACACCAACAAGCAGTGGGCCAGATTTGAGTTTTCCACCCCATGGTTTGAAAGCATTTTCTAAATCTGGGTTTTTGTGTGTTGGCTGAGTGGCACGCAGGGTGGGGAGAGTTTTCAAGGCGAAACCTCTAAGCCCAGTTGAATGGAACAGGAAGAGGAGGGGGTCGGAAGGGCCAGTGCAGACTCTGGAGGCCTGTCCCCTTCAATTTCTTTCCAGGGAAGGACAAGGACTTGTTCCAAGGTCCAGCACCTAAGCAAGGGCCATGGCTTTCCAGGAGCAAGCCAAGAGGGAGGGGGATGGAAGGAGGGTGGAAGTCCTGCTGATGGTGGTGTTGCCCCCCACAGATGCCAACGAGTGTGCAGACCCTGTGAACTGCATCAACGGCCTGTGCGTCAACACCCCCGGCAGCTACTTCTGCAACTGCCCCCAGGATTTCGAGCTGAACCCCAGTGGGGTGGGATGTGTTGGTGAGTCCATGCTCAGCTCTAGCTGGAGGGACCTGGGGTCTGTGGAGCCAGCTGGATGTCAGGCTGTCCACCTGCTCCTGACAAGAGGACACTTGCTGGCTTGGAACCAGGATCATCCTTGTCCCCCAGAGAGATACAGCCTTCTGGTCTAGATCCAGCTACACGCCCATGCAGACAGTCTCACAAGCACACACCTTCCCTGCCCGGCCCTTCCCTGTTCATGCATTCAGGAACACCCAGCCACCACCACACACACACGGCCACACACACACACACGGCCACACACACTGAGTCAGTCAGTCAACAGTTGTCTCCCCCAACCCCCACACAGGCACACAGAGACACTCAGAGGCCACAGCTACACATGCATAGACACATAGCAAACACACATGCACATGGTTTCTCTCCTGCCATTTGCTGACCACCCCTTTCTGCCTGTTCAGATACCCGGGCTGGGAATTGTTTCCTGGAGACCCTTGACCGAGGGGATGCTGGCATTTCCTGCAGTGCTGAGATCGGAATTGGCGTCACCCGAGCCTCCTGCTGTTGCTCCCTGGGCCGGGCCTGGGGCAACCCCTGTGAACTGTGCCCAATGACCAATGCCAGTGAGTTCCTCTGCAGGGCAGGCACCGTGGCCTGAGCCACAGAGACCAGGATCTTCGGGGTCATTCTGCTAACAGTAGGCTTTGAGGGACAGGGAAACTGAACACCAGGGAGGGAGAAGGGCGCATCCTGGGGCACATTGCATGCTCTGGGCAGCTCATGGGCCAGGCCTCTCCAATTCTCTGTGCTTCACTCCATCACTTGGCCAGTCAACAAACACTGGGAGTTCCTCTGTGCCTTGTGCTAGGGTCCGGGGACTGAGAGAAAGACAAGCCACATCGGTTCCTCACCTGTGAACCAGTGGTCTCAGGATTGCGAGGGTAGAGCTCTCCAAAGGGCTTGTTTGAGGCTTAGGGATGGTCCAGGAGAAAGCCACAGAGAGGAAGCAGGTAAAAGAAGGCTTCCCAGGGAGAAGGCTTGAGCGAGGTTTTGAAGGATGAGTAGGAGTTTTCCTAGAAGAGTAGGGGGAGGATGTGAAGGCAGTGAGAACAGCCTGTGCAAAGCCACTACCTTGTGACCCATCTGCTGCCATATTGAATGTGAAAACACATTTACACACACTCACACTCACACACACCGAATCCCCAAGCAGCCCTAACATTGGGCTAAGGTCTCTTGACTCCAAGAGGCCAAGGATGACCAGATGGGGGCCTGCTCTTGAGCACTTTTTAAGGGACCCCCCTCCCATTTCCCCTAGGCTTTGATCCAATGCCCCACCCCATAGCCCCTCACAAGAGCCTGTTTCCCTTGCAGCTGAGTACAGAACCCTGTGCCCAGGTGGTGAGGGCTTCCGGCCCAACCCGGTCACTGTCATTCTAGAAGGTGAGTTCCTGGCAGACCATCCAACTGGCTCCACTTTCTCTGTATCTCACCAAAGTACTGAGTTGGACTGCCTGGGGAGCATATCTTTTCACCTGGAGGACAGGCGGGAGAACCAAACCATGCTTCCACTTTACAATGCATTGTTAATTTATTCTTTCAGCCGTTTCTTCTCCCATCTGTTGGCTTAGTCATCCAACCATCCACTTATCCATCCACCCATCCTTCCATTTATCCATGCCCTATCCATCCATCATCTATCCATCCATCCATCCATCCATCCATTCATCCATATCTCATTCATCTATTCATCCATGCCCATCCATTCATCATCCATTCACCCATGCCCTATCCATCCATCATTCATCCCCCATCCATCCATCATCCATCCATCCATTCATTAATACCTCATTCATCCATTCATCCATGCCCCATCCATCATCCATCCATCCATCCATCCATCTATCCATTCATCCATACCTCATTCATCCACTCATCCTTCTCCTATCCATCCATTCATTCATACCTCATTCATCCATTCATCCATGCCCCATCCATCCATCATCCATCCATCCATCCTTCTATCCATTCATCCATACCTCATTCATCCACTCATCCCTGTCCTATCCATCCACCATCCATTCATTCATCCACACCTCATTCATCCATTCATCCATGCCCATCCATCCATCATCTATTCATCCATCCCCATCCATCCATCATCCATCCATCTATCATCTATCCATCCATCCATTCATCCATACCTCATTCATCCATCCCCATCCATCCATTCATCCATGCCCTATCCATCCATCCATCCACTCATCCATCCCACATCTTTCTCACAATGAAAGGAAAGGAGTTGAACTCAAGAGAGTCTGGGTCTAGCCTTTGAGATAGACCTCCAAATGTTCGACAGCCATGAGGGGTATCTCTTGGGGATCCTTGAAGGAGCCCAGGAAAGCTCAGGAAGCTCCCACGATCAGCTTTTTCTCTTCCTTGACAGACATTGATGAGTGCCAGGAGCTGCCAGGGCTGTGCCAGGGAGGGGACTGTGTCAACACATTTGGCAGCTTCCAGTGCAATTGCCCACCTGGATACCACCTGAATGAGGACACCCGCATCTGTGAGGGTGAGTGTGGATTCTTCCCCAGGCAGGGCCAGGCCCTCCCTGACTTCCTGTCCTGCCAAGCTCCATATGGATAAGGAAGGGAAGTCCTCACCTGAGTTTGGTTTGCCTTGGTTTGCCCTCTGCTCTTCCTCCTTCTCCTCTTCATTTGTCCATCCATCTGTCCATCCATCTGTCCTTCTTCTCTTGAGCCAAACTGACCAAGGCCCAAAGCTAAGCGTGAGAAGGAAAAAACATGAGAAGAAACAGTCCCACCTTTCCTTCAAGCATCACTTCACCTGTCTATCCTTCTTTTTAATATTTTTTTAGTTGTAAATGGACCCAATATCTTTATTTCACTTATTTTTATGTGCCTCACACATGTAAGGCGAGTGATCTACCACTGAGCTACAAACCCAGCCCTGTCTATCGTTCTTGTTTGAGCATCACAGGAATGGTCAACAGCTAGCTGGTGCCCAGGACGGTGTGTTAGGATGAGGGACAGTGTTTTATTCCACTGTGGTTGGAGAAATGCTTTGTATGATTTTAATTTTAAAACAATTTATTCACACTTGTTTTGTGACCTGATCTATGGTCTATCCTAGAGAATTTTTCATGTCCACTTGGGAAAAAAAAGTGTATTCTGCTGTTTGGGGGTTGCATGTTCTATAGATTTTCCTTAGGTTTAGTGCTTCGTGGTGTTGATGAAGCCCTCTCTTGTCGACCTTCAGCTAGTTTCTTTTTATCTCTTATTGAAAGTGGGCTTTTGAATTCTTCAATTGTTTTTGTAGAACTCTGACCGTTTTTTTGTCAGTTTTTCCATCACGTATTTTGAGGCTCTTTTGTTAAGTGCACGTATGTGTATTATTGTTATATCTTCTTGGTGGGTTGACCATTGTATCAATATATGGTATTCTTCTTTGTCTCTTATGGTAATTTTGGGCTTTAAGTCTATTTTTTTAAAACAACTATTGTCACCCCCAATCGCTTTCTTTTTTTTAATATTTTATTTTTTTAGTTGTAGATGGGCACAATATCTTTATTTTATTTTTATGTGGTGCTGAGGATTGAACCAAGGGCCTTGCACATGCTAGGCAAGTACTCTACCACTAAGCCACAACCCCAGCCCACCCTGATCTCTTTCAATTACTATTTGCATGGAATATCTTTTCCCTACCTTTCAACTTCAACTCATTTGTGTCTTTGGGTCTACAGTGAGTCTCTTGTGGATAGCACCTAGTTGGATCATGTTTTCACTTTTTGTCCATTCTGTTAATGCCTGACTTTTCATTGGAGACTCTAATCTATGTACACACTATTACTGATAAGGAAAGGCTTACATGTGCCATTTTCTATTTATTTCCTACATGTGTTGTATTTTTTTGTTTGTTCCATTTTGTTTTGTTTTGGATTGAACCCTGGGCCTCACACATGCTAGGCAAGTGCTCTACCACTGAGCCACACCCCAACCCTATTAACTTTTTTGTTTCTTTTTTCGATTGATTGATATTTGTCCTAGTGGACCATCTTAATTTCCTTCTTGTTTCTTTTTCTGTATCCTTTTAAAGTTAAAGAAAAAATAGGAGTTAATAACCAACAATGCAATACTACTGAGTTCTACATTTACCTATGTAGCCCGCTGTTTCATTGAATGTTATTTCCCTATATGGGTTTGGGTTACTGTCTAGGATATTTTCATTCCATTTGGAGGGGCTCATAAGTATTTCTTGTGAGGCCTACTAGAGATGAACACCTTCAATTTTTGTTTATTTCAGACTGTCTTAAGAAATTCTCCTTCATTTCTGAGGGATACTTTTGCCCTCAGTATTCTCAGTGGACAATTCTTTTTCTCAGTTGAGAGTCTTTTTTTCTTCTAGGGCTTTACTTCACCCCACTGTTTTCTGGCCTCCATGGTTTCTGAGGAGAGATTGGCTGTTAACCTTATCGAGGATCCCCTGTGTTCAATATGTCACTTCTCCCTTCCTGCTTTTAAGATTCGCATGGTAGCTGTGGCCATGAGAAGGGAAGGATGTGACATTGTCAGGGGCACTTACAAATACGCAGCATTCTCGTATTGCAGCATGGTTACTATTTATTGTAAATTATTTGTTATAAGTTTTCGACAGGATTCTAGAGTTCCACATATGTTGATTCCTGCCCCCTATTTTTTGCCTGTTTAATTTGCTTTTGTGAAGGTGTGGAGCCTGGGAGTTCTCTGCTCTGCCATTTTTGGTGATGTCACTCTCAGTGTAACATTCTGTCACCTGTTTTTATACAGCCTGCTAGCTAAGAATCTTTTTTCATATTTTAAGTGATTAGGAAAAAAATCAAAATAATATTCTCTGACACATGAAAATTATATGAAAGTGAAATATTAGGGTCCATAGTAAAGTTTTCTTGTAGCGTGGACACTACCACAGATCATTTTCACACTGTTTGTGACTGCTTTTATGCTGCAGTAACAGACCAGATAATCAGGAGAGACTTCCTCTTGATTCAAAAACTGCAAAACAATGTGGCCCTTTACAGCCAAAGCTCTGCCTCTGGATGGGAGGAATTGACCCCCACCCCAGGATACAGTGGTCCCCTTTACCTATGGTCAACTTCTGTGATTACCCATGGTCAACCCAATCTGAAAATATTGAATGGAAAATTCTAGAAACTATTTGTACGTTTTAAATAACATTTATTACAGCATCTGGTCATGCTTGTTTCATTTTATTAGCAGTTACAATTGTTCATGTCTCACTGTGCCTAATTTAAAAATTAAGCTTCATCATAGGTGTGCCTGTATAGGAAAAAAAAACAGAGTTTGATACTATCCACAGTGTTAAGCCTCCTCCGGGGTCTTGGTGGTGCGTCATCGTTCTATCACTGTGACCAAAATACCTGACAAGATCCACTTAGAGGAGCAAAGATTTATTTTGGCTCTCCGTTTCAGAGGACCCAGTCCAGGTTGGCCAGCTCCAAGTCTGGGCCATCAGGGCAGATGCAAGTGGCAAAAGGAAGCTTCTCGGCTCAGGGCAGCCAGGGAACAGAGAGGGAGGGGCGTGGTCAGGGAGAGGAGGGACCCTTCCAGGGCACGCCCCCGTGGCCTCCTTCCTCCCAGCCATCCATCCAGCCACCAGTTCATTGATCCATGATTCAGTCACTTACCCAGAGCCCCTCTCTGCATAGGGGACCTTGCTTTCATCATGAGACTTTAGGGAACTTTCCAGGTCCAAACTGTACCAGGGGGACCGCTCTGCGTTTTCCATGGGGCTCCTGCTCTCTATCACATCGCAGGGGGTAGATGTGGTTGCCCCTTGGCGATGGCACAACCAGTGTGGGTTCAGGTCATTTCCTTAGTGTAAGTCGTGTCACAGTAAGTGTTTCTTCATGTCATGTCCCTATTATATCTGTATAATGATAAGCTGATTTTGAAACCAAACCACGGAAGTGCCTCCTGGGCCTGGATAGGAGTTACCTGGAATGTTCCTGGACGGGGTCTGAACACCCCGTCTGCCCCACCTCCCCTGCAGATATCAATGAATGCTCCACACACTCGGGCATCTGTGGCCCTGGCACATGCTACAACACCCTGGGGAACTACACCTGTGTCTGCCCTGCGGAGTACCTGCGAGTCAACGGTGGCAACAACTGCATGGGTAGGGAGCGGGGTTGACCAGGGGGCTGGCAGTGGCTGGAGCAGCACATGGGTGTGGGAGGAGCTGCCTCCAAGCCTTGGAAGAGTGCAAAGAGTTGTGTTTGGGGGGAAGAGAGGAAGGGTGAGCGTATCTGGGGTGCTGATATGTGTCAGTGAACAAGGCTGCAGGACTCAAGGGCCCAGGGCTGCCACGCGGCTGCCACGAACAGTCGCCCAGGCTGTGCACAAAGCCTGAAATATGAATGAGGCCCCCAAGTGTGCTGAGGGAGAAACACCAAGCCAGTTGTGTTCAAATGGATCCATGAATCCCTTCCTGTTTGGTCCTCTCTTCCTCTCACCTGGGAGACCTTTTCCCACACTGCAGACATGAGAAAGAGTGCCTGCTTCCGGCACTACAATGGAACGTGTGGAAGTGAGCTGCCCTTCAACGTGACCCGGAAGACATGCTGCTGCTCCTACAACATTGGCCAGGCCTGGAACAGACCCTGCGAGGCCTGCCCCACTCCTGCCAGCCGTGAGTTCCCCCTCCCCACCTTCCTGCCAGCCTGGCCCCTCCCAGCACAGGGTACTTAGGGCTCTGAGGCTAATCTGCCTTGTTCTGATGAGCTGGAGTCAGTTAGGTTCCCTTGGGTGGACAGTGGGCAAGGCACTCAGTCCTCCTTTGCAGACATTGAGAATTCAGGATGGATCGATGGAGCTGTCATGGTGGGAAAAGCTCTTGAAGACACACAGAACCAGTGGGTGTTCGGTACAGATGCAGTGCTTTTTTTCAAATACTTTCCATCTAAGGCAGGTTGAATCTGCAAATGCAGAAACTGCAGGTATAGAGCTCTGACTGTGACTGGAGGATAAATTGCTCAGGAAGCCCAGGGCCCACTGCCTGAGGCCAGAGTGACTGCTCAGGGGTATTCACCCATTGGCTGCCATGGACGCTCAAGTTTGAAGCAGGGTTCACTAGGTGTCTCAGTCTGTTTTCTATTGCTGCCACAAAATACCTGAGACTGGATAAGTGATAAAGAATAAGAGTTTATTTAGTCCACAGTTCTGGAGGCTGGAAAGTCCATGAGCATGGGCTGGCATCTGGTGGGGACCTTTGTGCTGTATGACAACACGACAGAGGGTGTCACATGATGAGACGGAGCGAGCATGTCAGCTCAGATCTTTCTCTTATAAAGTCACTCATGCCTTCACGGGGGCCCTCCCCTCACGACCTCATTAAACCTCACCACCTCCCAAAGGACTCACTTCCAAATGCCATCAGTATAGGACTTTGGGGATTCTGTTTCCAACACATGAGATTTTGGGGGACACATTCAAACCATAGTGCTGGGGAGGGTGAGGGAGAAGGGCTGAGGTGCGGCAGCTTGGAGGAGCGGGTCATGTTCAGCGTGTCCTCTGATGGCCCTGTGCAGGCGTTTCTGCTGGAGAGATGGTGGGGCCGGGGTGAAGGTCTTGAGGTCACAGCTGAACAGTCTGTTGTTTTTGATGAGGGCAAGGGGTGTGGCTGGAGTGCCCATGCCAGCCAGAGGTGGCCAAGTCCCACCTGGGCATCAGAAAGTCACTGCACGGGTGTATGGCCACCAGGGAGGAGGCAGGGGGATGGTGAGAGGCCAGGTGGGGGCTGGGCTGCAGGGAGGGGCCGTCGCGGCGGTGGGGGGGGGGGCCTGGGCTGCAGCTCTGCTCTCCTCTGGCAGCTGACTACCAGGTCCTGTGTGGGGACCAAGTCCCGGGCTTCGTCATTGACATCCACACGGGGAAGCCCCTGGGTGAGTGACCAGCGCCTCTGCTTCTCTGAGCGCCCTCTTCCCTGTACCTCTAACTCCCCAGGAATTTTGCTCCCAAAATACTTCCTTCTTCTTTTCTTTTTTTTTTTCCTTTCTGGTTTTTGAACAGTGAGGGTGTTTTTATAAGACTGTCCATCATTTTTTGAACAACAGTGATACACATACAATAAAATTCATCATTATGACTGTTTCTCAGTGCCCATTCAGTGGCACTGAGCAGTTTGCACTCTTGTGTGACCATCTCCATCATCGTGGTCATGAGTTCTTCACTTCCCCGAACTGAACCCCCGTCTCCATTCCAACACTGACTCCCGTCCCCCCCCAGCCCCTGCTCCACCATCCTCTAGGGCCTTCCTGTGAGTGGAATCATGCAGAGTTTGTCTTTTCGCTTAGGGAATAATGACAAGGACAAATTCTGTGCATGTTCAGTACAGATGCAAAAATTTTTTTGAATTTTTGCAAAATGTAGTTGGTTTCATCTGAAGACGTGGAAACTTCAACTACGGAAGGCCAGCTGTATGTGTGCATGCATACCACTGAAAGCGCCTAATTTAAGCTGGGCGTGGTGGTGCATACCTGTAATCTCTGCTACTCAGGAGGCTGAGGCAGGAGGACCACAAGTTCGAGGCCAGCCTGGGCAACTCAATGAGACCCTGTCTCAAGATAAAATAAAAAGGGCTGGAGATGTAGCTCAGTGGTGGAACACCCCTGGGTTCAATCCCCAGTACCATAAATAAATAAATAAATAAATAAATATAAATTTTTAAGTTAAGCGCCCAATTCAGTGGATTTGGTGCATTCAGAGCTATGTAGACATTCCCTCCATCAAACCTTAGAGCATTTTCATTATGCAAAAAGAAATCTGGTCCCCATTAGCAGTCATTGACCCTCCCCCGACCCCCAGACAATCACACTCCTTATGTTTCTGTGGACTTGCCAATTCTGGGCACTTCTTATAAGTGCAGTTCTATGATATTTGCTTTATTTATTTTTTTGATCTGGCTTTGTTTGCTCAATGTCACTTTCAGGGTTAGAACCTGAAAAGCAGGGTGCTAGGTCACAGGAAATGTATTTTCCTTTTTTTTTTTCCTTCAGTACTGGGAATTGGACCGTAGGCCTCACGCATGCTAAGCAGGTGCTTTACCTGTGAGCTACATCCCCAACCCTTTCTTAAATTTTATTTTGAGACAGTGTCTTGCTAAGTTGCCCAGGCTGGCCTCAAACTTGCCATCCTCTTGCCTCAACCTCCCATGCAGCAAAATGTGCATTTTCTTTCTTTCTTTCTTTTTTTAATTTTACTATATTTTTGTTAGACTTTTAAAATGTTTTAATTTTTCTAATTAGTTATACATGACAGCAGGATGCACTTTGATTCATTGTACACAAACGGAGCACAAGTTTTCACTTCTCTGGTTGTACACAAAGCAGAGTCACACCATTCGTGCCATCGTACATGGAAATGTGCATTTTCAATAGAAAGTGAGGCTCTCTCCTGCCTTTGCGTTTCCTGCCACATCCTGACCTCTTTCTGGTGTGAGTAGATATATTTTGGCTACAGCAGGATTTTTGGACCATGTGTTGGTCTCTGGCCTCATCTTCTACCAGACCACATGGCCAGTGGGTCCTTTGGTTCAGGGTCCCCAGAAGGTCCCTGGGGCTAGGCTACCATTGATGGCTCTTGCCCTCCCCAGATATCGACGAGTGCGGGGAGATCCCAGCCATCTGTGCCCACGGTGTCTGCATCAACCAGGTTGGGAGCTTCCGCTGCGAGTGCCCCCTAGGCTTCAGCTACAACAGCATCCTGCTGGCCTGTGAAGGTGCCTCCCACCCCCACCCCTGTCCCCAGTCCTGGGTTCTGTGTAGGATGCTGGTTCCCCGCTGTGCATTCTGGGTGAGTCTAGACACTCTGTAGGCCTCCGTTTCACTGTTTCCCTGTCTGCATAGCTGGGCTAACACCTTCCAGAGCATCTCCATCCCAAGTAAGCACCCTCCCTCTAATTCTGGCGGTGTGCAGAGAGACCACCTGCTGCTTAGCTGGGTTTGGGGTTCGGTTCTCCCAGGGTGGGCCTCTCTCTCACCCCCATTCTGTTTGCTGGCTTCCCCAGATGTAGACGAGTGTGCCAGTGGGGGGGGACCCTGCCGGAGGAACGCAGACTGCACCAACATCCCCGGCAGCTACCGTTGCGAGTGTGCCCTAGGGTTCAAGCTGTCACCCAGCGGGGCCTGTGTGGGTGAGTGGGGTCGCCAGGGAGCCAGAGGCCAGAGCCCAGGACAGCAAGGGGAAGGGGAGGAGGTGGGCTGTTGCCTCCGTGACTTGGTGGAGCAGGGCTCTTTTCCCTTGTCTGTAGGTGGGAAGGTAAACTCGAAGCACCTGCCTTGGGTGGGTGCTGAGGACTGAACCCCGGGCCTCATGCTGCGGACCTGCATTCTGTCACTGTGCTGTTCCCCTAGCCCTGAGGGCACCTGTCCACAGGACAGTGACAAGGGTCATGCAGGGTGTGATGGGGCAGAGCTTGAAGCCCCTGGTGGGAGCTTGGATGTGGGACTTCAAGGCAGGCTCTGGCTCCTCCATTGCAGCAAGGGGGAGCTCAGGGAAAGAGGGGTGAGGCTGACCCTCTGTAGGGTGGGGTGCTTGGGGACACCATGCTACCTGCACCCCTCAGGACGGAACGAGTGTCGAGAGATCCCAAATGTCTGTAGCCATGGCGATTGTGTGGACACAGAGGGCAGCTACACATGCCTGTGTCACCGCGGCTTCCGGGCATCGGCAGACCAGACCCTGTGCATGGGTGAGAGCCTCTTCCACTCCGTTCTCTCAGCCTAAGCTTTGCCTGGGGTGTACACCATCTCTGGGGCTGGGATGGCTCCTCTAACCATCCCAATTCACAGAAAGATCCAGGTTTGAATCCTGGCACTAAGACCTTGGATAAGTGACTTTTTCATTTCTTGCCTCAGTTTTCTCATCTGTAAAATGGAGGCCATAAATAGTACCAGGGGTCTTTCTCAGCTGTCCCCTCTAGAAGTCACTACCCAGCCATCCTCTCTAAAGGTCACTACTCAGTCGTCCCCTCTAGAGGTCACTACCCAGCCATCTGGGAAGGCTTAGGTGCAGGGGAACCAGGCTGGGCTCAGCCAGGTCCCTGTCCCTGAGCCACCCAATGCCCTAGGGTGAATTGGTGGGTTTGCGGGGTTTTGTTTTCAGACCTTGATGAGTGTGACCAACAACCGTGTGGAAATGGGACCTGCAAGAACATCATTGGCTCCTACAACTGCCTGTGTTTCCCTGGCTTTGCAGCAACACACAATGGGAATTGTGTGGGTGAGCCACCTGGGTTGGTGGGGAGGCCTCAATATTCTCCACTGCACAGGAGATACATGATCTGAGGGCTCCTTTGAAACAAAAGACCTTGACCCTGAGCAAACTCAAGGGGTTGGTGTTTCCTCTGAAAATGAGTTAACTATAAAGTTCTCCATACCCACTCAATTTTCCAATACCAGTGGGAGTCTGTGTGGGAGTCTTGTTAAGAGTTTATGCTGAGGTTGATGGGAGGCCGGTAGGCAATATAGTTTAATGCTATGAATTTGCCTCTAAGTGCTCTCTTAACTGCATCCCACAAATTTTAATATTTTGTGTTTTCATTTCCACTTAATTTCAAATATCTTCTAACTCTCTTATAATTTCTTCTTTGGTGAAATTATAAAACAGGGTAGGGAAGAATGAAAGCAAGACTTGATGGTATGGCACTCCCCAATTAAGTGCACTGGGTTAAAGCATGAACTCCAAGATCAGAAACTATGAGTTCAGATCCCAACTTTGCCACCTACAAGGCCCTACACAAGTCATATACCTCTTAATATCTCCATTTTCTTATTTGTAAAATGGAGATTAACAGTAGTACTTACCAGAGAAAATATCAGATTACATAGGCTTCTCAACTGAAATATTACCTGTAATAGAGAGAGATATTTTATATTGAGCAGAAGACCAAGTTACTGAGAAGATATGATCATTAGTGCCTAAGCAACCAACAGTAGAGCTTCAAAACATATGAAGTGAAATCAATAATAGAAATAGAAATAGAAAAATCCATAATTATAGTTGGCAACTTCAACATATCCCCTGCAGTAGTAAAGAAAACAAGTAGGTGGAAAATCAGTAATGATATAGAAGACCCCAACAATACTGTCAACCATTTTGACCTGAATGATATTTATATAATATTCTAGAATACACATTCTTCTCAAATATACATGGACATTTGCCAAGGAATATTTGCCATATTCTGGGCCATATCCTGGTTTGTTAAAGCAACCCTTAACAAATTTTAAAAAACTGTAGTCACGTAAATTAAGTCCTCAGGAAGTAAGAGAATACAACTAGAAATCAATCACAGAAGATACCCAGAAAGTCCCAAGGTATTAAGAAATTAAACAATGTATTCTTTTTTAAAAAATATTTTTAGTTGGGCCTGGGGTTGTGGCTCAGTGGTAGAGGGCTTGCCTAGCATGTGTGAGGCACTGGGTTCAATTCTCAGTACCGCATATAAATAAATAAAAATAAAGATCCATTGACAACTAAAATTTTTTAAAAATATATTTTAGTTGTAGATGGACACAATATCTTGGACACAATATCTTTTTATGTAGTTCTGAGGATTTCTCTATAAATCAAAGGAAAAATCATAAATGAAATTAGAAAATATTTTTGAATTAAATGAAAATAAAAACAACATATCAAAATATGTGGGATACAGCTAAGAGAGGATTTGGAGGCAAATTCATAGTATTACAATGGCTGTATTAGAAAATATCAGGACCTACCTCATAAGGTAGTAGGAAGGTTAGAATACAGAGTCTACACGAGTGCTCAGTAAACTGAAGGAAGTGCAAGGGAGGCTCAGTGCCCTCAAGCTCCTTGGTTGACCCTACCTGCTTATCTCCCCTCTGCAGACATTGATGAGTGTACCACTCTGCTGGGGCAAGTGTGCCGATTTGGCCAGTGCCTTAACACAGCCGGTTCCTTCAACTGTCTCTGCCAGGATGGCTTTGAGCTCACAGCCGATGGGAGAAACTGTGTGGGTGAGTCTCACCGCAGTCCTGGGACCCATCTCAGCCAGTCCTTGCTCCACATTTACCTGAAGTTGGTACTTTTGAGTGAGCGTGCTTCCATTCGTCATCCATGCATAAAAAGTATTTTTAAAAACCCAGCACATTCCATTATAAATTTAGAACATAATTTTGTGATTTAGGGTGAAGCTGTCTTGAAAATGTAAGTTCTCTGAAATCAGGAATAGTAGGGGTGCTAAGTGGATGCCAGGAAAATCCCAGAGGAATCTCCAAGTGGCTCCAGATTAGGAACCGGGCTCCCTCTTCCCGCCCCCGACACCATCTGGCTCCACCTGTACCCCCCAGGGCCAGATAATCCTTTCCATGCTATCCCTGTTTTCTGGAATCTCAGCCTTTCCCTTGGACCCAGAACTGCCACTGGAAGGGCTTCTCCTAGGTCCCTCAGCCATCATGCAGTGACAGCAGGTGTCGGCCCCAGACCTGGGTGAGCCCTCCGCCTCCTCTCTGGTGCTGGGATCCCCTCCTTCTCCTCTCCACAGACACCAACGAGTGTCTCAGCCTTGCGGGAACCTGCCTGCCAGGCACTTGCCAGAACCTCGAGGGCTCTTTCCGCTGCATCTGCCCTCTTGGCTTCCAGGTGCAGAGCGACCACTGCATAGGTGAGTGTCCAGCCCAACCTCCCAGCTCTGGGGCCAGGGAGGTGCCTTTGAGCTTCTGTTTGCCCATCTGTAAGATGGGAATACCAGTTGGGGTTACAGTGAGGTGAAGATGCACTTAGCATAGCGCCAAACACAGCTCCATGCACTATTATCAGTATTAATGTTTCTGCACTCCTGGCTCAGGGCTTTCTCTCTGGGGCCCTCAGTCTTCCTTGTGAATCCTATAAAATGGACATGGGTTTGGGGGTCTCACTGCACCTCAGGAATCTAATAATAGAACTTCTCACTCCAATGAATGGGGTTGTCAAGGACAAGTCTGGTCCAAGTTCTACTGGTATAATGACCCATAGGAGTGATTGTACACTCTGGACTAACCTAAATCAGTCTGGCCTGACCTCTGTGGTCCACTTATTCACCTGGGTTGGCCTCATTCCATGTGGACTAACCGGACCGTTTGGCCCGAGCAGACAGGCTAGTTTCATATGGTCTGGGCTAACCTGCGTTAATCTGATCTGGACTGATGGCCCTTTTGTCCAGTCTTCCATTGGGCTAGTCTTATATATTCTAGGCTAACCTGGACCAGTCTGGCCTGGCCTCTTCTGGTTTTTTGTATCTGAGCTAGCTTGATACAAATGAGCCACTCCATCTAGTATGGGCTAACTTTATTCAGTCTCGGTTAGCTTTATACAATTTTAGTCTCTAGCAATGAACTTTTCCAGACTATGACTCCTACATCTCCTGGGAAAGACCCCTTCCCACCCCATACACACTGCCCACCCAATGCTGCAGCTTATACTGAGCCTTAGCTTCTTGCCCCACTTCAGCCCGCGACCCACTCAGGCTGGACCCCTACTCCTTCTGCCCTTCTTCCCAGCCAAGACCTCCCCACCCTGGTGCAGGTCCTTCTTGCAAACACCCCTCCTTCCCCACTCATGTCCCTGCCCCTCCAGACATTGATGAGTGCTTGGAAGAGCCAAATCTTTGCCTCTTTGGTACCTGCACCAACAGTCCTGGAAGCTTCCAGTGCCTCTGCCCACCTGGCTTTGTCCTCTCCAACAACATGCACCGTTGCTTTGGTGAGTTTGGGAGCAGGGAGCACCCGGGGCTTAGGGAAGAGGGTGGTGGGAGATGAGGTGGGAAGGGCTTGGATCACCCAGAAAGGAGTGCCACAGTTTCTTGTATGACACTCCAGGAGCTCTGACCAAGCAGAAGCGTCTCTCTGCTTAGTGGGGTTATTCCAGTCCAGGCAACCTTTTGGCCAAACTGATCTCCTCTACAGAGGGCCAACTTGGACCATCCCTGGCTAGCCTAGACCCCCGGGTTGTTCAATGTTAACCAGAGCTTCTCTTGCTATGCAAGTGTTGTCTAGTTTGAAATAGCTGAGGTCACTCTGGGCTGGCTTCATCTCAGCTGGGCTAGCCTTAGCCAACTTGAGCTAGCCTTTACTTATAGGTTAGGGGGAATAAGAGTGTGAGCAGAGTCACAGTTCAACTCAACCAGTTCTGGTGGCCCAGGGCCCAGTAGTGAGCCACACACACCCCAGCTTGCTGAGTGCCGGTGGAGCAGAGATCTAGGAGTTTGGGGTCTGAAGTCCGGGGTCCTCCCACCCTCTGAAGAAGGGCCTTCTGATTCAGGAGCATCGTAGCCAGTTTGCTCATTCTTCCAGGCACAGGGACACCCTACAGCAGTGAAGTAGGTTAGAATATTGCTGGGATTCTTCGCTATCCCGCCAAAGCCCAGGGTTTATCCCCATTGGACCAGTGTTGATCACGTGTTCATTCCTGAGCCAATCACTGTGACTGGGGGGTGTGGAGTGTTCTGATTGGCGGCTAGTAGGCTCAGCTCCACTCATTCATCAGGACTCGTGTAGAAGAGGGGCGCGCATGCAGTACTTTGGCCTTTATCAGCTTAACACCCAAACGGCCTGCTCTCTCCCACAGACACAAGGCAGAGTTTCTGCTTCACACGTTTTGAGGCTGGAAAGTGCTTAGTGCCCAAAGCTTTCAACACCACCAAGACCCGATGCTGCTGCAGCAAGAGGCCTGGGGAGGGCTGGGGTGACCCCTGTGAGCTCTGTCCTCAGGAGGGCAGTGGTGAGTCTGCTCTGTCCCTCTGCTCAGATCCTGGGGGTTGTGTCTGGCCCTGGATTCTGACTCCTTTTCTGAAACCCCCTCCCTGCCCAGCTGCTTTTCAGGAGCTCTGTCCCTTTGGCCACGGGGCAGTCCCAGGCCCGGATGACTCTCGAGAAGGTGAGCCCCTCACCCAGGTGCTGAGAGCCTCTCCTGAGCTACCCAGCCCTGCCCTTCTCAGCTCTGCCTGGATACCCAAGTCTCAGGCTCCCTCCCAGATGCACAGGTGGCCTGGGGTCCCCACAGTGATAGCCGCCCGGTCTGCAACCCTTGCCACGTGCAGATGTGAATGAGTGTGCAGAGAACCCTGGCGTCTGCGCTAACGGCGTCTGCATCAATACCGATGGCTCCTTCCGCTGCGAGTGTCCCTTTGGCTACAGCCTGGACTTCACCGGCATTAGCTGTGTGGGTGAGTGACCAGCCCTGGCTGGCCCCTGTCACCTTCGTCATTCACTCATTCTCTCCCTTGTCCTTCATTGACTCTCCCACTCACCCTTTTCCCCATTGCTCATTCATTCATTCATTCATTCGTTGACCTGTTCGCCCATTAACTCGTTCATCCATTCACGCTTTCCACTCATTCATCCTACTTTCATGCACTCGTTCAGTCACTCATGATCTTATTTGTTCCCTTATTCATTCATCACTTGGTCATTCACTCATTCACCCCCTGCTCATCCACTCATTCATTCATTCTTTGAATGTGCACCTGTGTTTGCCCTGCAGCCAGCTTAGAGGGCAGCAGATCTTGCCCTGTCCAGTCTGTGGCAGTCACCAGGGAGGCAGACAGGGATGTGAAGGATAGGAGTTTCTCTGCAGTCACTGACTACTCCTTATCCTCAACCAGACATAGATGAATGCTCTGTTGGCCACCCCTGTGGAGAAGGTACATGTACCAATGTCATTGGCGGATTTGAATGTGCCTGCGCAGATGGCTTTGAGCCTGGCCCCATGATGACCTGCGAGGGTACGATGCTGTCTGCCCAGGATCTGGGATGTGTGATGGGGACCATCCCCCTGGGAGGGAGCAGGGGTCCTGCAGGCAGACCTCACCTACCTGACGCCTCTACTGACCTCCATAGACGTCGATGAATGCTCCCTGAACCCGCTGCTCTGTGCCTTCCGCTGCCACAACACTGAGGGCTCCTACCTGTGCACCTGCCCGGCTGGCTATGCCCTGCGAGAGGATGGGGCCATGTGTCGAGGTAGGCTCTACACAGGCCCCATGGCAGGGCCCCGGGACTCCTCGTCCTTGGCCTCATCATCCCCATGTGTGTAGGCGACATCCTGAGCCCTGCAGTCCAACAGACTTAGGTGTAGACTCGGTCGTTCCTCCACTTCTTGAGCACACGATGGAGAAGTAAGAGCCATGAGCCCCCACGGGTGGGTGTGAGCAGCATGGCCGGTGCAGCTGGCCCTGTGAGCAGGCGGGGCACCTCCTGGGAGGGGTGGTCTTCTTAGTTCACTTTCTTCTGCTGTAACCGAGACCACAGACCAGGTCACTGATAAAGAGTGGAAGTGGGTCTGGCTAATGGTTCTTGGATCTGGGAAGCCCAAGAGGATGGTGCTGGCCTCTGGTGGGGATCTTTATTGTTGCCGCACAACACCCCGGGAGGGGGGGCGCCCCATCCCAGAGCACAAGGTGCTAGCTTGGCTCTCTCTCTTCTTATAAAGCCACCGATGCCATCACGGAGGCCCTACCCTCCTGACCTCATCTAGTCCTAGTCCTGTCCTCGAAGGCCCAGCTCCAAACACTATTAACATATGGCTTTGGGGATTAAGCTTCCAATTTAATGAGCTTGGGGACACATTCAGATCACACTCATGGTTCTGACTTTGCTCTTGTGAGTTTTGTCATTTTGCTGTTAAAATGGGATAAGAAGAGCTCCCTAGGCCCAGAGTCCACTAGGACATCAGGGGCTGGACCTGCCCTAAGTGGCATAGGTCAGAAGGGACAGAGATCATGCCTCCCTGGGGACATGTGCTCATGTCTGTGAGTTCCTCATTATCACAATTAAAGCGGGAGAGTCTTGACGTTGGGTGGCAGGGGATGCTGCTAAATACCCTACAACGCACACAGACCAGCCCCCTATCACAAAGGACTTTCTTGTACCAAATGTCTATAGTGTCAAGGGCAAAAGACCTGAGGCTGGGGCTGGATTCCTCCAGGGCTGTTTCAGAGTCCATGTTCAGGAGCCATGAGGAGGCCCTGACAGATTCACAGCCTCTGGCATGGGCAGGAGAGGTGGAGCATGGGGGGCATCCTGAGCTTTTTGGCTGGGATCTTGTGGCTCCCTTGTTGGGAAGACCTGCAGTGCCCTCATTCTGGTCCAGCAGGAGGCTGCTGGAGTGTAGGACCCAGGCCCTCCAGCCTAGGGCCAGGCCATGAGGCAGCTGACTTTGACCAACACCTGTCCCTGGTCATCCACAGACGTGGACGAGTGTGCAGACGGGCCGCAGGACTGCCATGCGCGAGGCATGCTTTGCAAGAACCTCATCGGCACCTTTGCGTGCATCTGCCCCCCGGGGATGCGGCCCCAGCCCAGCTCTGGGGAGGGCTGCACAGGTATGGGGGAGAGGCCAGAGCAAGAGGTCGTGGCAGACCCAAGGGAGGAGCTCCAGGGCTGGGGGAGGCCAGCTCCGGACTCTGTCCTCCCCTCTGGCCTCCTTCATCCCTCCCACCTCAGATGAGGATGAGTGCCACGCCCAGCCCAGCCCCTGCACCAATGGCCGCTGCATCAACACCGTGGGCAGCTTCCGGTGTGACTGTGACCAGGGCTTCCAGGCCAGCCCCACCCTCACTGAGTGCCTCGGTGAGTGTAACCAGGCGTAAACAAAATGGCTGCAGCCACTCTCCACCCGTGCCTCCTCCTGCCCAGGAGCTCCCTGAGTCAGGGGAGCAGTCGGGGCACTGGGGAGGCATGTGGGGTTCTGAGCCACCGTGGACACATGGCCAGTGTGCACACAGCCTGTCTCCCATGATACCGCCAACCCCCAGACAATACCCAGGAGTGAGCCCTCCCGGGATTTCCCACTTCCTGGAAGCTAAACCCAGCAGGTGACATGCCAGTAGCCTCTGTCCTGTGAATTGTCTGTTCCTGTCCCCACCTTCTTCTTTCCTCCCTGAGTGTGATATCCACCCCACAGCTTCAGGCCAGATGTGTGCATCCAGCTGCTTCAGGGACATCCTTGTCCCTACCCCCAACGATACAGCTCACCTCCAAACACTGTCTCAGTGATGGGCCCCCAAGCCAACCTTCCAGAGTAACTGGGAAGCCTCCTCTTCCTCACCCTAATGACCAGTCTGCATCCAGCTGTCCCCACTTCCCATCTGTCCCTAGATGTCATTTTTCCTCATTGTCCCTGATGTTTCATCCTGGGCACCAGTATGTCTGGTCCCCTTCCTGACGTTCCCTGCATCCCCTGCTGCCTCTTGGCCATCTGTTCCCTCTGTGGCCAAAGAAGGCTGCCTTTGGCTGTCCAGCCTCTACAACCCAGCCCTGGGTGGTCACTGACTGGGCCTGTAGCTTCTGCCCCAGCCCCACCCCATTGAGGGGGTGTCCGTGTCTGGTAGCAGTGCCTTGGAAGATTTCACACTGTGCCAAAGCCACCCTACACCCCAGGGAGGAGGGTCCTCGGTGGCACGATTCTCCTGCCCACCTTTCCTACCCATTCTCCGCAGACATCCGGCAGGGCCTGTGCTTCTCTGAGGTGCTGCAGGCCACGTGCCAGGCGCGGTCGAGCAACAACGAAGCTGTGCCCAGGGCTGTGTGCTGTTGCGGGGGCGGCCGGGGCTGGGGACCCCACTGTGAGCTCTGTCCTCTGCCTGGCACCTCCGCCCACAGGAAGCTGTGCCCCCATGGCTCGGGCTACACTGCCGAGGGTCAAGGTGGGTGTCCTTGAGGTTGTTTCCAGATCGTTGTGTCTGTGCTCCGGTGAGTGCTAGTGTGTGTGCATGTGTGGGTTTGCCTCTAGGGTGAGGACTGGTGGGCAAAGGGAAGCGAGCATGCCCTGGTGGCCAGCCAGACCCCACCCTGCCCTTTTGTCCCCAGATGTGGATGAGTGTCATGTGCTTGCTCACCTGTGTCCCCACGGCGAGTGCATCAACAGTATTGGTTCCTTCCGCTGTCACTGCCAAGTTGGGTATGCACCAGATGCGGCTGCCACTGCCTGCCTGGGTGAGCCACAGCCCCCCGCCCGCGTGCCCCAGCCTGTCTCGGGCCCGGTCAATAGCCCCTGGCCCCACTTCCCTGTGCCCCTCCAAGTTTGCAAGACTTGCTTTTCGTTTCCAAACCGGCGACCACAGCCTAAGGAAACCAGAAAGTGGACACCAGAAGCAAAGCTTCACCCGGCTTGAGCCACGTTCCTCCCCTGCTCTGATGCATCCTGAGATTCTCCAGTTACGTTGTGTAGTAGACATTCATCTAAGTCAGGAGGGAGCGGACTGCAGCCTGAGGGCCAAATCCAGCCTTCCACTATTTTTGAAATAATTGTCCTGGCACCTAGCCATGCCTGTTTCATTTCCTTTAACCGCTACTTTTCTGAAATGAAGGCTGTGTTAACTAGTAGTAACTGGGACTGTGTGGCCTGAGGAGCCAAACATCCAGTAGCCGCTTGGTGTCCAAGGAGGATTGGCTCCAAGATCAGGGTTTCTCCATTACATAAAATGGGGTAGTGTTTGCACACATCCTCCTGGTTACTTCATTTTATTTACTTATTTATTTTAGTTTTCATTTGTTTGGTTTTATATTTACTTGTGGTGATGGAGATGGAACCTGATGGTTCCATCAGAGCCTGGTGCATACTCTAGACAAGTACTGTACCGTGGAGATGCATCCCCAGCCTCCGACTGTACACTTTAAATCTCTAGATGACTCACGGTAACTAATACAAGGTTAATGCTAAGGACAGAGTTGCTCTGCTTATTGTTTAGGGAATACTGACGAGAAAACCTGCGCCATGTTCAGCGCAGATGCAGTTCCCCACCCAGTATCTGCAATCCACAGTCGGTTGAATCCACAGGTACACAAGACTGACTGTGCACTATTTGACTTTTTTATAGAAAAGTACCAACTCCTGCGTTAAGTCCACAGATTTCAGGTGGCCAGAAGCTGGGAATGAGACTTCAACCCTTAGTCCTGCAGGGAATGTCCCTGTGACCCGCCTCACACCCCACCTTTCCCCACAGATGTGGATGAGTGCAGCCAGGCCCCCAAGCCATGTTCCTTCCTCTGCAAAAACACAGATGGCAGCTTCCTCTGCGCCTGCCCCCGAGGCTACCTGCTGCAGGAAGATGGCAGAACCTGCAAAGGTGACCTCCTTCCCTCCCGTTAACACCTTCTGGGGGCCATCCCTGTTAGGGACAAATGCCCCAGAGAGGTCACCTGTGGTCTCACCCCCTCCACCTGCATAGAGCTGGGGACTACATGGGGTTATTCTCCTGCCACTCCTTTGCCTGAAGGTGGCAGGAGCACCCTGAGCCCTAACTGAACCCTGCCCACCCCATCGTCCCTACCCCCTGAGCCCCGCCCCAGTCCTGGACCCACCCCATGCTGAGTCCCACCCCTGAGCCTGCTGGGACGTCTGTGCTGTGCCGCAGACCTGGATGAGTGCTCCTCCAGGCAGCACAACTGCCAGTTCGTCTGTGTGAACACCATTGGCTCCTTCACCTGCCGCTGTCCCCCTGGTTTCATCCAGCGCCACCAGGCCTGCTTTGGTGAGTGCCCCTGCTGCTCGTGTGACAGGTGACACACAAACCTAGCCTTCTCAAGTTTGTCACCATAGAAGTATCAAGCACTCTGTGTGTGCTAGACCTTGGGGACGTGGGCGACGGTGGAACAAAGTGCTTGCTTCCTGGGTGCTCCCATCCTGGTGGCATCTGGGACTTCCTCCTTCCTGCCCTAAGTCTCTGAAAGGTCCACCCTCAGAAGTTCCACTTACCTGGGTCCAGGCCATCTCCTTTTGCCCCTGACCAGTCCCTGCTGGGTCTCCCAGAGTGCTCCCCAAACCTCTCACAGCTCAAAGGGGGAGTTAGCTCAGAAGTCAGAGCCACAGAAACACCTGCCACCGTTTGCTTCTTCGTGTCTTGTGACCCAGAGGGAACCAGATCTCCCTTTGAGGCTGAGCCCAGCCACAATTGGCCCATGCAGGCTCCCATTGACCCTCTTAGCACCTAATGATCACCTTCTGTGTACCAGACAGTGCTTTGACCAGAGGATGGCAAACTCCAGCCAACCATCCAAAGCTGGTCTCTGCTGGCTTTTGCTAATAAAGTTTTATTGACACTCAGTCTCACCCACTTTATCTATCATCTGTGGCTACTTTTTTTTTTTTTTTTTTTTTGCCCAACACTATACTGACAGAATCCAGACAGTCCAGTTTTGCCAGCAGAGCCAAAAATGTTTACTCTGAACCATTTCAGACACGGTTTACAGAGCCTTGCTCTAGATCCTGGGAGTACAGGACAGCGGAACCTGATACTGTCAGGGAACTTCCCTTCTAGGAATCAGACTGCAACTGACATAACATTAAGTATGTCCGCAGGTGTTGAGTGGCTGGAGAGAAAGACACAGTACAAGTAGAGTCAGGAAATTAACAGGGAAGAGAACTCTGGTGGAGCCTCATCCAAAGGGAACATTTGGGCAAAGATTTGAAATAATGTGTTTCGATTTTTCTGCAACAGTAAAGCTGTGTGTGTGTGTGTGTAGCTGCACATGCCTAAACATGGAGGCACATGGACCGTTACACATGTGTCCCACACATGTAGTAAGCTCACAAGTGTCTTCTCTCTCTAGAATAGTTTAGGTTCTCTGCCAGGCAGTTCATATTCTGAGGCTCAACTACATCAGGAATCAGAAAACTTTCTGTAAAGGGCCCAAGAGTAAATGTGTTCAGATTTCCATCCATATGGTCTCTGTCAGATTGACTCAACTCTGCCATTCATTGTAGCACCAAAGCGGCCAGAGATGACACACAAACTAATGAACAGGCTGTGTACTGATAAAACTTTATTTGCACAAGCGAAAGGTGGGCCAGATTTTGCCCCACAGGGCCCCAGTTTGCTGACAACTGAATTAGGAAATCAAATACACATGATCAAAGCAGACAACTATGACACTTGGTTCTGTTTCTGGATTCAAGGGAAAGAAACAACAGGTGGTGCTGGATGTTTCTAAGGAGAATCTGGATACTAGGTTGTTTTTGTTGTTGGTTTGTTGTTGTTGTTGTTGTTGTTGTTTGTAGCTTCTCAAGGGAGACAGCTCAGGCATTCATTTGCAGACACTGTTCTGCAATTGATGCATGCAGAAGCTCCATGTCCCCTTTGTTTCTTGTACCTAAGGCAATTCTACATCTCTACAGGAATGTTTGATGTCAAATATCTCTGTGATCAGGGAAGGCAAAACCAGGAGTGTCGCGTTCCTCATGACTAAAACACTCAGGGTCACCGCAGGGGGACTGGGCTGCACGGGGATAACCACACAAGAGACAAGAGAGACCTTTTTCTTTGGGGTCCTGTGATGGCTCCTCTGACCTTAAGGGTCTGCAGAAAGAAAAAGAGCATGTGCTGACCCCTTTTATTGAGGAGAAGCCATTCAAATGAGGCCAGGGTTCAGGTTTCAGGGGGCTGAGTCTAGCTTCATGGTGTCCACTGTCAGCAGGTTCACTGACATCTAGGAAGGCCACACCCAAGGGCAGAGCAAGAGAAGGGGACACACAAAGGGCATTTCCATGAAACATTCTATCCCAAACAGGGCAAAGGGGTAATATCACAAAGGAACAGGTGAGCGTAGCTCAATTCATGGGGCGACATGCCTGTATCTGAAGAGGCGTCCTCCATCTCCGGGACCAGGGCAGTGTCCAGGTCACTACGAGATGTAGTGACGGTCAGAGCCTCTCCGCTCAGGGAAGGAGAATGCGAATCATTCAGACTGGATTCCCACCCAGGAGTTTTCTGCTCATTCCTTAAAACCTGTCCAAATGCAGTTTACTATCCACGGGTCATTACCACCAGAGCAAAGCTGCCTGGAAACCAGCTCTCAGTCATCTTAGATTGCTGCAACAAAGACACCCACAACAGAAAGAGGGAGGTTTTGCAATTCATATCCAAAAATTTACAGATATGGATCTCTGCGCCCACCATTCCACTTTAAGGAATCTATTCTAAGGAAATCATCACAGACACACACACACACACACACACACACACACACACACAGGTTTATCTAGTCTTTAATTTTATTTAAAGTGGCAAAAAAATAAAAATCTTTGTGCCTTTTAATTGGTGTTTGGTTAAAAGGAAGCAGAGCTCATCTAACCAACCAAAGATGAAGTGACCATTAAAAATGATGTGGGGGGCTGGGAATGTGGTTCAAGTGGTAGCGCGCTTGCCTAGCATGCGTGAGGCACTGGGTTCGATTCTCAGCACCAGATAGAAATAAAATATTGTGTCCACCTAAAACTAAAAAAAAAAAAAATGATGTGGGTTGAGCATGGTGCACACCTGTCATCCCAGTGACTCCAGAGGCTGAGGCAGGAGGATTTTAAGTTCAAGGCCAGCCCAGGCAACTTAGACCCTGTCTGAAAAGGGGCTGGGAATAGAGAGCACCCTTGTGTTCAATCCCCAGTACCAAAAGAAAAAATGAATAAGGAAACTAAAAATATTTAAAGATATGGAAAGATATTCACAGATTAAGTTTTTTTGAAAGCTTAAAAAAAACACACTGGGTGTTTAAACTACAGAGATTTGCTGTCTGAGTTCCGGAGGCTGAGAAGTCTAAGATCGGGGTGCCAACACGGTTGCTTCCTGGTGAGGCTCCCTTCCTGGTTTGCAGACAGCTACCTTCTTGCTGTGTCATTACATGGCAGAGAGATGGGGGTGGGGAGAACGAGCACATCCTCTCTGGTGTTCATTTTTATAAGGGCACCAGTGCCATCGTGAGGTCCCACCTATGACCTCATCTAATACTAACTTCTTTCCAAAGGCTGAATACTATTCCGTTTAGAGTTGAGACTTCAACATGATTTTAGGGGACACAAATTTTCCATCCATGGCACTGGCTGATTTCACACTATTGTCAAGTTCCCTAAAGGACAAAGCTCAATAGGTGCCCCCTGGTCATTTTCCCATGGGAGAAGCAAAAAGGGTTTTTGCTTTGTTTTGTCTGTTTTGGGGTGCTGAGGATCAAACTCAGGGCCTTCCATGGGCCAAGCATATGTTCTACCCCTGGGCTACACCTCTAGTGCCCAAAGGAATCTTGGTTGTCTTCTGTTCTCACACCAGGCACTGCCCTCAGCCAGGTGTGTGGTTAGGTTAATTCTTACTCTAGAATGCAAGGGGATGAGACTCAAGCAAAGTCCTTTGTATGCACCATCTCAAGTGTTGGTGGCAATTCTGTGAGGTAGGAACTGTTATGGATCTCACTTCCCCGAAGGGGAAACCGGCAGGAGGTGGGAGTAGTGACCTGCCTGAAGTCACACAGTGGGTCATGCGTCCCCTAACCACCAGGAACTGCCCTTTCTCTGTCCCCTGCAGACAATGACGAGTGCCTGGTGCAGCCTGGTCCGTGTGGCACCCATGGACTCTGCCACAATGACCCAGGTGGCTTCCACTGCGAGTGCTACCAAGGCTTCACCCCGGACAGCTCAGGCCATGGCTGTGAAGGTAGAACAGGGTTGGGTGGGTCCCAGGCTGGGGGTGGTCCCAAGGGCCACTGGTCACACCCTGTCTCTGTCTCAGATGTGGATGAATGTGGTGGGCCACATCACTGCCAACACGGCTGTCAGAATGAGCTGGGGGGCTACCGCTGCAGCTGCCCCCAAGGCTTCACCCCGCATTCCCAGTGGGCCCAGTGTGTGGGTGAGTGGCTGTTGTGACACATGACTCAATCAGTCAGGATCACTCCAGGTGAATTGGGTTGGCACGAAGTAATCACACAGGGACACAGAAAATACCTTTTCCTTGGGGTTCAGCGATGGCTCCTTGTCCCCGGCTCCCACAAGGGAAGCAAGAGAGGCAGACAGAAGAGAGTGACAGCACACCTGAAGCCCTATTTATTCAGGGGAAGGTACTCAAGATAGTTCCACCCGAATGAGGCAAGGGATTGGGTTTCAGCGGGGTATAGCCCAGTCCCGCTGGGTGACGCCCACTCCCAAGGCCTCATTCCCCTGCTGCGTGGAGGTGGGATCCACCTGCTTCCGTGCAGGGAAGCCGTCTCCACACTTCCATCGCTCAAGGCTAAGGGTCATGCTCAGCTCCTTTTCATGGTGTGGCAAGTGGCAGGGGCTGGGGAGGAAGCTGGGCCCCAACTGGAGTCTTTCCAGAGGGGGTGGGGGGCTGGGAACCACCTCCCCGCCATGCTGTGACAAGCACAGCTATTTAAAAAAGCAACCAGGCCAGCCTAGAAGGCCTCCCACTAAGGAGTTCAGGGGCATCTCAGCAAGCACAGCACGTGTTCAAGCCGGTTACTTAGCAGTGGTGGCCTGCAAGACTCAGTTGACAAAGATTCTGAGAGCAATTCCTGTGACAATGGGGGGAAAGTGCTATGGTTGATTAGTGATGTCTGCAAGGATGCGGCAATTGTGAGTGAAGGCACGCATGCTGCGTCTTTGCCACAGCTGTTGCAGAGGCTCTTCAACTGGGGAGCTTGCCTTCTGCCCCCCAACTTTTCTTCTTTTGCTGCCCAAGACCTTTCTACTAATAGCCTCCTCCTAACCAACTGTCTACCTTTCTGTCCTACAGTCTGGCTTTCACCCTCTACCTTGGTTGGGCTCATTTGCTCTCCAGAGCCTTCTCTGTCACGTCTCCTCAGCTCCCCCCCTTGACCTCCACTGTAATGGGCACTGTGGCCCGATCCCCCTGGACACTCCCTCCTTCTGCAGACTCTGAAATGCAGCCCTCCCCACTCTCCTGCTGCCTTCCAGGCACTTCCTGTCTCTCGTGGTAGGTCTTAGTTAAGTTCCTTGTCTCTATACCCCCCGGTGTTTGTCCCAGGGACCTCAGGATGTCACAGACCACTGGCCTTTGCTGGCAAATCCTCATTCTCAAGTTCTCTGCTTGTCTCCTCCTCTGCATGTTTTTGATCATCCCTTCCCCCAACTCTTTGCGGAGGACTTGCCCTTCTCCAGGCCCTGAGGATGCAGGAGTGAGCCCCAGACAGACGCCACCCTCGCCTTGAGTTGCCAGTTTAGCAGAGGAGATGGGGACTGCTAGACCACTTCCTGGGTTAAACTGAGGACCATTTTGCGCCCCTGGGGGACATTTGACATATCTTGAAGCCATTTTCAATCATCACAACTAGGGGAGGGGTGTTCCCGGCATAGAGGGGGTGGAGACCTGAGATGCTGCTCAGCGTTCACAGTGCAAGGGCATCCCTCACCACAGAGAATGACCCAGCCCCACCTGCCAATACAGGGAGGGTGCAGAAGCTTGTTCTGGAACATGCTGCGATTCAGGATTTAGGGGAAGTTTGGAGCAATGCTATGAAGGAGAATTACAGGCTTTGGGGCAGGGGCTGGGGGGATAAGGGAGGATAATAGGCAGGGGATGGAGAAAGATGTATTCTGAGGGCCCCTGGCAAGCTTGCTGCAGGCTTTGACATTGGACCTGGGCTCTGAAGGAGGAGCATCCCGCATGGAAAGCTTGGAGGGGGCAAAGCCCCATCCTTCCTCTCCTCCTCCCTCCACAGACAAGAATGAGTGTGCATTGTCACCTGCGGCCTGTGGCAGCGCCTCCTGCCACAACACACTTGGAGGCTTCCGCTGCGTCTGCCCCTCTGGCTTTGACTTTGACCAGGCCCTTGGGGGCTGTGAGGACGTGGATGAGTGTGCTGGACAGGGCAGCCCCTGCAGCTATGGCTGTGCCAACACGCCCGGCGGCTTCCTCTGCGGCTGCCCCCGAGGCTACTTCCGCGCTGGGCAAGGGTGAGAGATTCAAGTGGGGCAAGCAGGGACGAGTATAAACTCCATGCCCTGCAAGTGTAGATACACGCAGGCTGGTGCAACCACCAGATACCCATCAGAAGAGCCACCTCGGCCTGTGCACCCCTCCCCTAGTTGTGTACATGTACACGTGTGTATGAAGAGCTGAACACACAGAGGTGCTTGCATCTGTGCACACCCCTGATGTGTAATTATCCACATAGTTTATAAGATGCCAGCATGCCTGGGCATCCTCGGGCACTCTCAGGTCCCAGTGTGTACATGTGTATGTGTCCATGTCATCCAGCATGCCTGCAGACTTATATGGCCATATCCCTGGGGACACTTGTGTGCCATCATCCATACATCCTGGCTTGCACGTGTGAGAAAGCACACATCACAAGCTCTTTGCTCATGCTGGCTCACACTTTGTGATCATCCCTCAGTATCTGAGGGTCGTCTACCATGGGTGCAGCAATTGTGAGCTAAGGCATTGTGAGTTTGGTTCTAGGATCCCTAATGGATACCAAAACTGACCAGGCTCAAATCGCTTTCCTAAAATGGCAAACTGTTTGCATAGAACCTACACACAAACTCTTACACTCTAAGTTATCTGCAGATGACTTATAATAACTGATACAAGGTAAATTATATGTACATAGTTGCTATAATGTTTTGCTTAAGGCAGTAATGACAAGAAAAAAACTAAGTGTTCAGTACAGATGACTGAACTACATAGAACACACAGCAACAATGTAATGTTCTCTCATTACTTGGGTGGTTGAATATGAGGATGCAGAACCAATGATTATGGACAGCTGACCCTGCTCACATCTCCAAACACATGCAGGATCTTACATTGCAATAGGCACGTGTACTTGCATGTTATCCTCCATGTATGTACATGGGTTTGCACATGTACATGCCCATGGGCACTCAGGTACATTCATCTGTCCCAGCATGTGCACATCATTCCTTCTGTGTTCATACCTGTGCTCAGGTAAACCAAAGGACACACACACTTCCCACTTCCCACTGTGCATGCTTCATATACACGTGGCACCTCGCCAACACACACACACAGGTATACTTGCAATGCAACCCTTGCCCCATGGGGCAGTAGAGCTCAGAATAGAATGCGAGGGTGGTAGGGTGTGGTTGAGGAGGTCCCCCCAGCCCACTCCTGAAAGCCACCCACCTGATCCTGGCCTAGGCACTGTGTCTCTGGTTTGGGCTTCAGTCCTGGATCCTGGGACACCACAAATCAGGAACAGCTCTCGCCCGAAGCCTGCTATGAATGCAAGATCAATGGCCTCTCCCCTCAGGACCGACCACGTCGCAGTGCTCACAGAGGCCACCAGGTGCCACAGGGACAGTGCTGGAGGGGGCAACCATGGGGACTGCCCAAGGGTGGGAAGAGGGCTGTGGTCCCCCAAGAAAAAGCACTAGACTCCAGGTGCCATCTTGGCCCTCATGTCATGGTGCCTGCCCAGGTCTCCCTGTACTTCCTCAGACCTAGTTTTCCCTTGAGGACTCTTGGGGCCCCCAGACAGTTTGCCTCACTCCTGATGAGAACTCAGATACCTCCTATACTGACCTTGGCTGGGTTGGGGTGCTTCTTGTGGATTCCCTCTTTTGGTGGCATTTAGAGGCAGGAGAAATACATTGGTCTCTCTAAACCCTCTGTGCACTCTGGAATGTCAACCCTTACCATCTGGTTAGTGAAGCCCTCCATCAGAACTATTCTAGATTTAGCACTGCTCAGAGCAGCCAGATAACAGCCTCTGCCTCAAGTTCTGCCCTGTTCATGACTCCTGGGCTGGGCACATTGGGATGAAATCTGGACAGAGGCTTTGTGCCTTTGCCTGCAATTCCCACTTTCTGCCAGCAGGTGTCAATAAGTGCATATGTCTGAACCACACTCCCGGGACAGGCCCAAGATTCCCAGAAGGAGGGGGCTGGGAGATAGGAATAGCTTTCACTTGAATATAACAGAATGCTCCATGGGCATATAAATGAGGTGAAAAAAAACAGCACAGCCCAGAGCAAAGGGGAAGAAAACAGATAACCTTCTGTGGGATTGGATACGTCACCCAGGCCTGGGTAGCCTGCCATTGAATCTCACTGGTTTATTGAGGGTTCTGTCCAGCTGCCAGGACCAGGAAGACACTTCAGAGGAGCTTGAATAAAGAAGGGTTTGTCATCTGCACACAGGGGGCTCTTAATGAGAGCCAGATGCAGGAAGTACAGAGGAAGCTAGCAGTAGCCTGGCCCTTGCTCTCTTCTCTCTGGCCCAGCTGGGTATCCTATTTGTCTCGAAGTCAGCTCTGACATCCTTTAGGGTCTGTCTTCTGCAGAAAAGGCCTTTGGTCATAACCCCAGGCACCCCAGGCTGCCTGAGTGACCTTTGGGACTCAGGGGCCCAGTGCCATCTGGCTGACCCTCTGGTTGGGTCTTTGGGGCGAATACTTAATTCCCTCCACCCAGGTAGGGGCCTGACCGTGGTGATTCAGCTGAGAATAGGGTCTGGAGTCTGTGTAAAAGTGGCTGCCTGCCTGTTGGCCTTTACTTTTCACCTGAAAACCAGCCTCTGCCTGTGCCCTTATGTCCTCAGCCCAGGCTGACCTCAGTCTTGCAAACAGAGGGCTAGACAGAAGTGGCCAAGGGCAGAGTACATTGCATGCAGGATGTTTTCTTCCACATTAGACATTGTTTAAAATCACTCTGGCCATGACCCCAGGGCCCCTTATCTACCGCATCCCTGTTCAACCAGCCTCTGATTGCCCACCTGGTTTTTCTCCCCAGGTGAGCCTGGCCACCCTTGACACAGAAATCCCCCTGACCTTGGCCTTGAACCTCTCACATCTGGGCCAGTCGGAGCATATCCTGGAGCTGCGTCCAGCTCTGGAGGGCCTGGGAGGCTGGGTGCACTACGTCATTGCTCACGGCAACAAGCAAGGTTTCTTCCGCATGCATCACCTGGGCAGCCTCAGCTCCCTGCAGCTGGGACGACGGAGGCCCAGGCCTGGAATGTACCAGCTGGAGGTGGTGAGCGTGGCAGGGCCCCGGGGTGTCTGGCCAGGTTCGGTGGGCCGGGCCTTGCGGCTAAAAGTGCAATTGCAGCTGCTCTAGTTGAGAAGAGCCTCCATGGGCCCCAAGCTCCTGGGCCACCCAAAGGTGGAGATTCTGGAACTGGGAAGGACTGGTCCCCAGCAGCAGCAGCTGACCAGGTCAAATCCTGAAACTCAGGAAGAGAGGAATGCTACACTTTGACCTCAGATGGGTCCAGGCACAAGCTGGACCTCTGTGCCAGCCAGGGGACCCCAGTACTCAGTCTTTCCTGGAGACAGCTGGACGCTGTTGTGTGTACCTCCCCCCCCCACAGCCAGGGTCAGTGGGGGCCCAGTGGTCACTGTTTCTGGTCAATCTCAGGCTTAAACTTCTGTATTGCACTGTGGCCTCCCCGCCGGGGGGTTGGTGGGATATGGGAATGAGTTGCTGGAGTGGGCATGGGCTCATCCTTCAGAGCAAAGAGAGGAGCCCTGACTGCTCAGAGTTAGTGACTGGCTGCCATGTTTATTCCCCTGGGGCCTGGGCTGGGTGTGAAGGATGATTTTATATCAAAAGTGGAAACAACAATAAAGTTATTTTGGGTTAAATCTGCCTGCCTCTTTGGTAAGTTCTCACATAAGGAGATGCTGTCCTCTGCAGAGCCACATAAAGCTCCTACCTGGGAGAGCCAGAGGGGACCTCTGCAGCCCCAGAGAGGCCCAGGTTTGGGAAAGGATGGGCTTTGTCCCCAGGACCCAGGAGAAAATGTAGTGAGAGTCTTGCAGGAAGGGTTCCCCCAACCTCAGGCCTGTGCATTTGGCACAAACCCAGAGCCAGGCTGTGAGTGGCAGCTGCTGGCAGCCCTTACAGGTTCCTCAGTCGTGAAGATGATGGCTCACAGTCTGTACTGCATGCCCACACTGTTCTAAGTACTTTACAAATATGAACGACTTTGTCGTCACTAGAACCCCGCGGAATGGTAGTAGGATCGGCCTCGTTTTACAGAGGGGAAAGCTGAGGCTCAGAAGTTACGCAACTGTGGCCCAGGTCAGGCCAGACTGAAAGTCAGGGAGCTGTGCCAGCCCCTGCACTGTCCACCACCATGCTGCCAGACCTGTTGCCAGACCCTGGAACTTGGCCTCAGTGAGAGAAAAGAAATCAAGTAGTGAGAATGCAAATAGGCAACCTTTACAGGGTAAGCTTGCTGGCTCCCTGGGACAAAAGAAAGGACTTACTGGCAGCTCGCAGGGGTGGGCTGGGGCTTAGGAATGTTAATTGGCTTCAGGTGCACTTCGACCTGTGTGGGCGCTTGAACCCCAGATCCTTGCCCTGTGATAAGGACGTTAAACGAAAGGGCAAGTGGCAGGTTGATGGCCCTGAGAGTCCGCCATTCGGTGTCTCAGCAGCTTCACCCTCAGCATTGAAGGGTGGTGGTGAGCGCACCCAGCTCTAATAACACACCTGGTCTTTAAAGCCAGCAGGACTGTTTTAGGGTGGGCTGACGGGGCAGGTTTGGTGTTTGACAAACTGTGAGTTAAGGTGAAATCTTTAAATGGCTGTCAGGCTGTGAACCAAGCCCAGGAGTGCATGTGCCTTTGTCCCTGTGGTGGTCCCTGACTCCTGACTCTGGGTTGGACTTGGCTCCGTGGAAATCTGAGGGGGAGCTCAATGGCCAGGATGGTCACCTCCTTACTGAATGGTTGGTGCATGCCAAGCGCTGCGCCCGCGGGGACAGTCATGTATTTGACCCCCATCAAACCCCTCCTGAGGCAGGCAGTATTATCAGCCTCGTTCTATGGGGGCATAGGGCAGGAGGGACTGAGGCTTAGAGAAGGCCTTCCTGGGTCACCCATACAGTGTGGGCTGAGGCCCCAAACCACCAGCATGTCATCTACAGAGGATATATATTTGGCTTGCATCTGGGACATTCTCAGTTGTGATGGAAACTGAGGCTATTAAGGATTGGGAATAGTACAGCCAGGTGTCTCAAACCTCTGCCTGTAGAGCTGTATCAAGTGCCTGGTCCCAGGGCACTATCCTTGCCCAGGTCCTGACCCACTGTCCCCTGGGCAGCCTACTACAGCCTGTAGAGGTCTTTTCTGACCTTCCACACACCCCAGTCCCAGAGTCTAGGCAGAGCAAACACAATGATCCCTCCTTCACAGGCAAACAAAGAGACATCAAGAGAGTCAGCAGCTGGCCCAAGGTCACCATTTGGGAAGTGCAGGTCACATCCCACCTGTCCAGTGCTCAGCCCCTCAGGACCCACTTGTCATGAAGGCTGGGGCCACAGATCTTAAAATAAAACGTGACAGGGGAAACAATGACATTTTTTTTACCAAAAGTTTATTTGAAAATTATTTTAAAAGCTTAGACTGGGAGGATGTTTTTTGTACCAACCAAAACTTTGCAAGGACCTGGAGGGACATAGTAGGTGGCCTGGGGTGAATGGCAAGAAGCTGCAGGTGGGTGACATAGTCCAAAAGAATCTTGTCTGCAAGAACCTTTTCCCAAGGTTGGTACTTATCCCAGAGCAGAAAGGAGCTGTCCCTCTTCCCAGCTGTCCAAGGGGCAGGAGATGGTAGGAATAGAAAAGAGCAAACCAATCCGGGCACAGGGGCTAGGATTGGGACTGAAGGACAGGGGCAGAGGCAGCTGGGGCTGCAGGGTGACCACTGGTGGAGCAAGATCCCTCTGGCCTCTGTCCTGCTGTTGGATCCTGGAGATGCGCAGGCTCACGGCCCTGCAGGAGGGATTAGAGGTGGGACTGCAGTGGCCTTGGGGGCTGTAAAATAATAAGAAATACACTTACCAGTCTCTGCCTGGCACCTAGTTCCTCAGAGCCTTGTAATGTGAGCAATAAGGACGTTAGGAGCATCCTTTGTTCTAACATTTGGTCTTTGACCCCGATTCCTGACACACAGCTAATAAATCCCTTGGAATTTCCTGGGCAATTGGACCTTCTTTTGTTCTGATGAGGGGACTCTTGGATGGGGGCTGGTCACAAGAAAGACCAAGCGTGTTTAGAGGGGGGGGGGGGCTTCTGCTCCTCCTCTCCCTCTCCAGAGAGGGGGAGAAGGGTTGGCAGGGAAGTTAATAATCCCTCATTCCTGTGTGATAAAGCCTCCATAAAACCCCCTGAACTCTGGGGCTCAGGGAGTTTCCGGGTTGGTGAACACATCGTGTGCTAGGAGAGTGGTGCATCCCAACTCCAAGAGGACGAGAACTCCTGTGCTTATGACTGTCCTTCATCTGGCTGTACCCCAGATCCTTTGTAACGTCCCTTACAATAAACTGCTGAATATGTTTCCCTGAGTCCTGGGAGTGGATCTAGCAAATGAATGAACCCAAGGAGACAGACACGGGATCCCCAATTTATAGCTGATTGGTCAAAGTGGAGGTGGCAACCTACTGACCATGTACTACATACCAGACGCTGCAAATTACAATTGTCTCTGCAACTCAATGGAATGCAGTGTCATCGATCCCCATTTTATGGTTGGCAAAACTGAGGCTCAGAGAGGTTACATCTTAATGGGGACAGTCTTGTGGGACAGAGATCCTTCCCCTGTGGCAACTGTCACAATCTCCAGTGGCTTGGATTGTGCTGCCCCTTCACATCTGTCATCAGAGTGTGGTGTAGAGTGTTGTTTTCTCATCTTATGGGGGCCCAGGAGCTCTTGGTCCACCTCCCTGGCCTTTCAATTCAGCTCTTATCAATGCCCCACCTGGCTAGGCTGGGACTGTGGGTAGCCACTGAGGACCTTCCTGTGTGGATCTGCAGGGCTGACCACATAGCCAGCCCTCCTTGGTCCTGTAGGCAAACGTCCTGCCCGAGTCTGGACCCATCATAAGCCTTCAACCCTCAGTAACGGATGGAGGAAGGCCATGTGACTAGTCCTCACCTGGATCAGTTTAGGGAAGCATTTCTTTTGTTGCTGCTGCTGCTGCTGCTGCTATTGTTGCTGCTGAGATGCTTCGGCCTGGACGATGGTCGCCGGGATTTTGAAGTATTCGGTTTCTTCCTCCCAGCCTGAGAGTCTATCCACAGCGAGAGAGAGAGGAGAGAGAGAGAGAGAGAGGAGCTTCATCAAGAGCCTCTGAACCTCTGGATGCAGCCAAGCCTGAAGCTACTGCTGGTTATTTGAGCCCATGACTTTCCCCTTTGCTTGAACTTTCCGTGTGCATCAATTTAGCACTCTGACTTTAAAAGAGCTAGATGATGACCTGGGGGGTTGGTCACTCAGTCCATCCCTCCCTCATCAGGAATGAGCTCTCTCTGGAGCAGGGGCAGCTGCCAGAATGTGGAGCTCTGATTCTCTCCCTCAGAGACTGAGACGCAAAGGGGCCTGCAGACAGGGAGGGTGGGCTCCCTAGATGCTGGGCTGGGGCCTCACCCACCTTGGATGGTTAGCCGGTTGTCAGACCTCTGGGAGACCTTGAGCCTAGGATTTACCCATCTCATTGCCTTCTGTACCCTGATGTCCCGTGGGTTCCCGCACACCGTTTTACCTGGTTGGTGGAAGTAGAATCTGCAGTGGGTGGGGAAGGGGTGCCCACATTAGGGTGGAAGGAGCAGCAAAGCTGTGTGTGTTCCCCACTCCCATCGCACGGCCCCACTCACATGATGGCAAACAGGTTGCAGCTGCCGCTCACCTCCTGGATCCGGAAAAACCTGGCGCGACGGAGCACAGCCAACTTGGGTTTGGGGTAGTAACCCAGACAGCAGTCTTCAAAGGACCCTGCAATCACACCGCCACCCACACGCTCAAACCTGCACATGGGCACTGGCAGGGACAGTCACAGACGTGGAAAAGCACACCATGACCCTTGCAGCCCCGACCGAGGCATGCGCACTGCCTGACTGCCTCTCAGCCTTTGCTACTGGGACAGCTGGCAGGGGTTGGTGGGGTCCATGGGCCCTGCTTGGAAAGGAGCGGACCACCCAAGAAACAGCCCAGAGCCCCTTCTCTGCTCTGGGAGCACGGGCGCAGACCCTGAGGAGGGAAGACAGGCTCAGGGCGGTGGCATCTTAATGGAGGGCAGTCTTGTGGGACAGAGAGCCTTCCCCTATGGCATCTGACACAATCTTGAGTTGTTTGGTTTGTGCTGTCCCTTCACATTTGACATTGGAAGTGTAGTGTCCCCAGTGCCACTCTCCTAAAAATGAGGTTGGTTAGCTCCTGCTGAGGTCCTGGATCCTCTCCAGGCTGGTCTGTCTTCTCATGGAACTAGCTCTGATCCCTCTTCCTCTCTGTTCCCATCAGTGACCACTCAAGTGACCCAGCCAGACACTAGGAGTTCTAGAGGGTTTACTTGTGGATCTAATAAAAACACTTAAAAGAGTTCCCACTATGTGCCAAATACCCAAACGGAGAAGAGCTGGAATTAATGTTGTCTTGGAGAGCTCCTGGAGTGGTGGGAGACAGGAAATTGACCTTTGTGGGGAGGGGGACAACACAGCACGGGGGATGCCTGAAGAGGAGGTAACGATGCTTGAAAGATCTGGGCAGAGGAGCAGATGGAATGAATAAGAAGAAGAGGGGGCGATGGGATGGTGGTGGAAGCCAAGGTGGGCTCTTTCTCCCAGTCTGTCTTGGAGGTCCTGCAATCCACCTCTGCCAGAGCCCACCTGAGTCGGGGGTCCTGGCAGAGCAGAGCACAGCAGCGGTGGAGCAGGGAGAGGGCTCAGTTCTCATTGTATCCCCCACCCTGTCCCCGAGGACAAGGAGCAGTGGTGTTAGATAGGACCTGCAGCTCCAGTGATCCTCAGCAGGTGGCTCCCAATGCTGGGGGCCACTGCCCCCTTCCCCAGGATCAAAGAGCAGGCGCTGGGCCTGGCTCTGATAGCAGGACAATAGGAACAAAGACCAGCCCTCCTCCTGGGCAAAGGCTAAGCTCTGCCGGATCCTGCCAGACCTAGAATGGGGACAGGCAGAGCAGGAGGGTGGGGCCACGCTCCTCAACCCTGCTTGGCCCCTGCTTGGCCATCTGGGAGGACTCACTGGCCTTGCCACAGGAATGTAGGACCCCATCTCAGGGATCCTGGGGGAGTCTGCACGCCTCCATCTGGCCTTTGGTGACCAAAATCCTCAAGTGCCTACTCTGGGGTGGAGATGGGGAGGAAGACAGAAGGGCTCCCTCACTGGGGCTGCTGGGCACAGGCAGCAGGTCAGGTCACTGGATCCTCTCACCGGCTCCAGGCGAGGGGAACTTCAGGTTCCCACCTCATAGACGAGAAAACTAAAGCTCACAAAGGCTGAGTGGCAATTCTCGGCTGCACTGCACAGGTAAGCTGGGCAGGGCCCCGATGGGAAACCACTCCCCAAGGTCTCCAGGGCTCTGGTCTCCAGCCCCATCCCTGGCTCTGCAGAGTCAGGACATTGAGGTATATTCCTGGCTGCAAGTGGCTTTACCCACAGCTGGAAGCCACCCTCTGTTCCCACATTCCCTAGGCCACTGGAGTCCTGCAAAGGAGGTACACAGGGGTGGAGGACTCTGGAAGAAGGAGCTGGGGACCCTCTGTCTCCCTTCATCCCAGGGCACAAACACCAGGAATCTCTGCTATGTTGGGAACAGGAGCCATAGGAGAATTCAGTGGTGGTAAGGGATCTGGAAGAGGAGAGGGGTAAACGGGCGGACAGGGGACGATGAGTCTAGATCGGGAAAGGAGGGACCAGGGGCGTAGGGTAAGTACAGTTGACTGAATACAGTACCTTGGGTGTGGATGGGAGGGACCCAGGCCCCCAAAAAGCAGGCTGCCAGGCTGGCAAGGATCCAAGGGTTCATGGTGCAGGCAGGACCTCCTCTCTGGGCACTTCAAGGATAGACAGAGTGGCCTGGGGAGGTGGAGAGGGATGATAAGGACCCAAGGAAGACAGCAGCAGGCACTGCTGGGGCCCAGGGCCTTCTGCAAGAGAAGCAGGTGAGGGGCTGGGGATGTGGCTCAAGCAGTAGCGCGCTTGCCTGGCACGCGTGCGGCCTGGGTTCGATCCTCAGCACCACATACAAACAAAGATGTTGTGTCCGCCAATAACTAAAAATAAATAAATAAATAAATATAAAAAAAAAAAAAAGAGAGAGAGAAGCAGGTGACTCAGGGTAGGGACAAGCTGAGCAGAAGGGACCTGCTGCTGCTCTCAGTCATGGCCAGACGAACGACTCACCAATGCCTATGGGGTCCCCAGAACCAGGGCCTGCTGCGGTGGGTGTGCTGTGTGTGGGGTTAGGCAGCTGAGCTTCTCTCTTATAGGTAGAGCCCCACCCCACAACCTCTGGCCCTCCCTCCCTCCTCCCTCCCTCCCTCATCCCACAGGCTCTGTGAGACTCCAGGGTTCTCCCTCACTGTAGATAGACCAAGCCTAACTTCCACCTGGATCCTCTCAAAGTCTGGCTGCCCTAGGAACCTCCTCCATCCCAGGCCTCTGGGCCAGCAAACTTGCACTGTCCCCAAAGGGTCCTTTGTCTTCTCCTGTCCCCTCACCTGCACACCCGGGCAGACACATTTTCCTGCACACAAGCCTCAGCTGATAGAGCCTCCAAAGAAAGCCTTTCCCTGGCTGCCTACTCCCAGGTATAGGAGGGACCTGAACTTCACCCATCTCCCCCTCCTGCACAGTGGGGCAATTTATATGTCACAGATATGCTGTGGGTTTGCGATAGGCAAATCCATAGAAACAGAAAGTAGATTAGTAGTGGCCATGGGTTGGGGGGGGGGCGGGTTGGGGGGTTGGCTGCTCAAGGTGCATCTTTTTGTTCTGAAATCAGATAATGGCAATGATTGACTAAGTCTAATGAACACCAGAGAAAGGTACACTTTCAATGGAGAAGTGAATGACCTGTGAATTTTCCTCCAATGTTATTTTAAGAATAATCTCGATAAACTGGAAATGTGGTGCACGTCTGTGTTTCCAGCGACGTGGGAGAATGAAGCAGGGGGCTAGCCTTGAACTGGCGCGAGCCTTTCTCCAAATAAAAACTGAAAAGGGCTGAGGACAGAGTTCAGCGGGAGAGCGCCCCTGGGTTCAATCCCCTTACCAAGCGGGGATGGCGGGGGTGGGGTGGGGTAGAAGTAAACAAAGACCACGGAGATGAAGAAGAGCCCAGTAAACTTATTAGTAACCACAACCACGAAGAAACACTCTGGTTTGAAAGCAAAGCCAGGAGCCGCAGGTAACCATGACAACGGGAAGCAAAGCGACATTCACCTGCAACCGAGGCGAGGGGCCGGGGAAGGAGCGGAGCGGGCGGTGCGGACACTTCACATAGCATTGCTTTTCTTTTTTTTCTTTTCTTTTCTTTTCTTTCTTTCTTTCTTTTTTTTTTATTTTCTTATTTTTTATGGCCCGCAAGTTTATCCCTCCTCTCTCTTTTTTTGTGGTGCTTGAGGATGGAACCCACTGCCTTGCGCACGCTAGCCAAGCGCTCTACCACCGAACTGTTCACCCAGCCTCCGTTTCTCGGGCTCTGCAGGGGGGTGGGGGTGTGGGGGGGTCCCTAGTGGTGGCCCTGGGCTCGCCGCCCTGCAGCTGGGTGGGGGGAGGGTCCGAGGCTTTGAGGACGGTGCCAGTGGGGATTGAAATGGGTGGGGCTTGATGAATGGCATTTAGGGGTGCCGGGAGAGACTTTTAGTTGGGGGCGGGAGTTAAACGGGGCTTAGAGTCTGGCGGGTGGGGCTTGGCCGTGGGGCGGGGCTGACGGGTTCAGTTCTTCCCCTTCAGCTCCCTGCAGCCCCGCCGTCCGTCGCTGCCGCAGGTGTACCTCCTGCGCCCTCCTGCTGCTCGGGTTCCTTTCTTTGGGTGGGTGATGCTAGGCGGGGACGCGGCTCCGCGTGGCTGCGGGCTTGGGACGCGGCGTGGCGGGCCAGGGCTGGCCTACCCGCTATGGCTCACTGCCCTCCTACCTGCGCCTTTGGCGGGCAGGGATCTGGCGTGACCCAGACTCGGCGGGAGGTCCCTGGAATGTGAGCCCACCTTCCCAACCTACCCTCAGGGTTGGTCCCGCCAGCAGCCTTCATGGGGAGGAGGGGGACGGAGGGAGGGGGTCCCCTGAGGGACCAGGATGCAGGTTACACAGGGTTGTGCACGCGCCCGAACCGAACCCAAGGGTCGTGGTGGGAGACAAGCTGTTCGAGAAGACGAGGCTCTGAACTAAAGCTTTGGAGTTCTGACAAGTTCTGATAAATGTGAAGGCCAGATCTTCGCAGTCAGGGCTGAACGGTGCGGCAGGCCGCCCCTCTCCCATCTCTACCTTTTCTGGAAGCCGAACTAGTATCAACAGAGAGCCTTCTCTGAAAGTGTGAAATGAAAACAGATGGGGTTGGAGTGGGGCACAATCTCCGCCCTTCTGGCTTCTGGTCATCGGCTGTCATGATGGGGGAAAGTGGAAAGTCTCCAACTGCAGCTCAACCAAAGTCAGGTACTGACCACGTCCTAGAGCCTGGTAGGGTTCTTCTACAAGCTGAGCCAACGGCAACCGCCAGGTGGAGGGGAGGGGCTGGGCTCAACTCTGGAAATATTCTTTGCCCAGAGAAGGGCACCTCTAGTGTGTGCACACAGATGGAAGAGTCAGATGTACAGAGGAGAAGACTGAGGGTCAGGGAGGCCATGTCATTTACCGTTTTTTTTTGTTTTTTTTTTTTTAAATACCATGAAGGAAAGTGTGACAGTCCCCTAATGCTGGAGGGCTCAGAGCAGGAGCTTGATCATCATTGGCAAAGATGGAGGGGCACTAGGTGAATGCTCCAGGCTGAAGTGAGTCCTTGCTTTTACATATCAGACCCTGGCTGCCCACAGCTATCCTGAAGCTCTGGTGCCTCCAAATCCCTGGGTGTCCTCTGGGAGTCTTGGCTCTAGTGGTCTCTGAGAGAAGCAGCTGGAGGCCCTCTCCCACACTATCTGTGCATCTCATAGGGCTTATGATACCAGGTGCCTGTCTGGCAGGTGTGGCCAAAGCAGTCTCTTTTTTTAAAAAAAAAAAAGAATTTGTTCATTTGAGAACTTTTTGGTACCAGGGACTGAACTCAGGGGCACTTGACCACTAAGACACATCCCCAGCCTATTTTGTATTTTATTTAGAGACAGGGTCTTGCTTTTGCTGAGGCTGGCTTTGAACTCATGATACTCCTGCCTCAGTCTCCTGAGCCACTGGGATTACAGGCGTGCACCTCCATGCCTGGTGGTTTTTTGTTTGTTTGTTTTTTTCTTTTTGATGCTGGAGATTGAATTCAGGAGCATTCAACCACTGAGTCACATCCCCAGCTAAGTTGCTTAGGCCTTGAAAAATTGCTGAGGCTGGCTTTGAATCCTTGATCCTCCTGCTTCAGCCTCTGGAGCCATCGGGATTACAGGCCTGTGCCACCACGCTCAGCTTGATTTTAAATTTCCCTTTTAATCTCCTCATTGATCCATTGATTATTCAAAAGTGTGTTGTTCACTTATTATTGAAATTCCTCCTAATATTGCTTTCTAATTCCATACTATGGTGGATGGAAAAGATACTTAATCTGATTTCAATCTTAAATTTGTTGAGGCTTGTTTTTTGCCTAACATATGATCTACCCTGGGGAATGTTCAATGTGCACTTGAGAAGAAGGGGTATTTTGCACCATTGGATGGAATGTTCTCTACATGTTTATGAGGCCCACTTGGTCTAGAGTGCGGCTCCAGTCTAATGTCTCAGTATTGAGACATTCTGTCTGGATGATATGTTCATTGCTGAAAGTGGGACACTGAAGTCCCCTGCTTTTATTATATTGGAGTCTATCTCTCCCTTCAGTTCTATTAATATTTGCTTTATATATTTAGACGTTCTGATGTTGAGTGCAGCTATATTTACCACTGTTAAATCCTTTTGATGAATTGACCCCTTTATCATTATGTAATAATCTTTGTCTCACTTTGCAGGGTTTGGCTTAAAATCTATTTTATCTGATATGAGTATAGCCACCCCTGCTCTCTTTTGGCTTCCATTTGCAAGGAATATCTTTTTCCATCCCTTCACTTTCAGTCTATGTATGTCCTGAAACCAGCTGCCTCTTGCTCTGGTCTGGATGCACTGTGGTTGCCTGGCAACTAGAGGAGGGGAAGAAAATAGGTTTACTAGGATGCTCTATAAGCCCCTGGCCTGATGCTCAGGGACCTGGTTTATGGACAGTCTGTGTGACCCCTTTAGCTATGTCCTCAATGCAGTCAGCCCTGCTGCCTCCTGAAGTCTGGCTTCAAGGGACTTCCTGCCCTAGGCTGAGGTGGCCTGTTTCAGGAACAGCTGCAGCAATGGCCTTGGGCACAGGCCACGACCAACCAGAGGGATTCAGACTACCAGCACCAGTCCTGGCCATAGACCAAGTCCTCGTATCTTTCCTGCTTCTGCCCTGTGTATGGATGAACATCAGGGAAGGGTGACTGCCTGACGCGCTGACATTGAGGCTGGGGCTGGGATGGCATGGGGAGGGAGTGGAGGATGGTGGGCCCTGAGGAGAGGGTTCCATGGAGCCCTGAGTCCCTCTTTGAAGCTGCTGAGGTCTGCTTCCCTTATGAGACAGGTTTTCTGCGCATCTCTCAGGCAGGCAAGTGGGTGTGTCACAGCCATCACAGATGAGGGTGATGTCATTAACTCCTCATTAATCACCTGTTGGAGGTCATTTGATATTTCACTCATTCAACAAACACTCAGCACCTACTGTGTGCCAGGCATGGGGCTGGGGGCTTAGCCAACCTTAAGTTGCCAGGGCCAATCTAGTCTTCCAAATGATTTTTTTTTTTTTTTTAAGATAGTGTCTTGCTGTGCTG